GGGCCTTTGGCTAATATCCCAAAATTAATATAGCTAAAATGTTAGAAGAGGAACCCTGATTGTTGATTGATATATAATCACTAATCATATGAGTGTTTATGCTTCGGATGGTTCTCACCGAAGCGTAGCGAAGGTAGAGAACCAACCTGCGCAGCGGCAGCTCGTGCTACTGATTGCTCTTGCGTATTTTATCAAAATACTGCTACTTTCATTTTGACCTTCCACTTACACATAGTAGCCCTTCATATTATCTGTGGATCTGATTCTTATGTGATGTTCTACATCCATATACACGTAGCTACTTCATATACGGGCAAGCAGCATACTGGTATTCCCACTTTTTAATCCTTAGTGTCCCTAATACAGCAAAATATGAGTGCATTTGAGCTGAATTTTCTTGCGTTCAAGGCCGTTTTAGATCGTCAGAATAGTCCCAAATGGTTGCTTTCATCTGGCAGTTACTTTCTGACACTTTTGCTCGACTTTTTGGGGATCAAAAAAACATGGTCAAAAATCGACCAAAAAGCATGAGGTATCCCTCATGGTTTTCATCGAAAATCAAACGATCTCATTTTTCATCTTGATAATGGAGACTTTTACTATGGTATATCTTGAATCAAAATGTTTCTATCAATCCAAAGCAACCTCTGAAATTATCTTTGTGGGGCTTTGATATGTAAAATTTCGACATTTTGGCCATAAACCTCTTTTCATATTTTTACAAATCATTTAATAAGTGTATTCAAAACATCTATTTTACTTAGTACCATTGGAAGCGCCTTGAAAAGTACTCCAGGAAAGCTTAAGGAAGCATGGGGTGATTATCATACTTCACTTAGTCGAATCTGCAAAAATAGCTCGATCGAGTCCAGAATCATCAAAATTTGTCCAATCTAGAACAGACTATGATTCTGGGTTTGAATTAATTTTGGTTGGTAGGGCCAGCTGGAAAACTCATGCCCTTTTCATAAGGCAATACAGTAGTAAATGCCCTTGAAGCGTATAGAAAGTAGGTGGCAGGTCATAGCACTATCGTTTATAATGATATTTTATTGCCTTCTATATCGTTCATAATGATATTTTATTGCATTCTATATTTAATAACGTTAGTCTGGACATTGACAATGCATGGGTTGCATAAAATGTCTGCAGTAAGTAATGAAATCTCTGAGGCTCTGAGACGTCGCTCAAATAAAACATTGACAGCATTGAGCAGAGGAAAGAGGGTAGAAACAACAGTGGTTTTTGTTGATTGATTGTAAAATCATTATTCTCATATTTTGACGATTTCCGCAAGACTGTTTTGGCTCTAGGTGTCGCACCTTATTAGCAGTAGATTTCTTTCCCAACTTAATTCAAAAATATCTTATTCCCCTTCTTTGCAGACATTGGGTCCACCAACAGTCTTTTCTATCCCTCAGCATGACATTTTAAGGACTTTAAATAAAACCTGGAGCTCGACTCCCCTACAAAAAAAAAATGCTTCCTAATACATTCTTAAAGTACTTTTCAAGACGCTTCCAATGGTGCTAATTGCAATAGATGTTTTGAATGAAATAATTGATAGAATATGAAATGAGGTTTTTAGCGAAAATAGTCATATTTTGCATATGAAAACCTCATAAAAGTAGTTTCAGAGGTTGCTTTGGATCGAGAGAAACATTTTGATTTGATATATACCATAGTAAAAGCCTTCATTTTAAAGGTGAAAAATGCGGTTGTTTGATTTTTGATGAAAACCGGTTTTTGGTCAATCTTTGGCCATGTTTTTTTGGGTTCCCAAAAAAGTTGAGCAAAGGTGTCAGGAAATTACTGCTACTCGTTTTTTATTAAAACATAGTATTCAGTATATTATATGATGTTGTATCTGATGTGAAGATGATTAGCGACGCGGGCTCGAGCTCAAAGCGCTGGACCATTCATAATTTGTTTTCTTCTAGACGAGCCTGGTGACTCCTCTCTATTGGTATGAAGAGTGTAACATCATTATACTCGGTAAAAGTCGTGGCCATTAGAGATTGACTCTTAGAACAGTGTAGAGCAAATCATGCTCTGTTGTTATGTGTTCAAATAAGCGCTGTGGACGTGATTTGATGTCAAAAAAGAGCCGCAGACTTGCTCTTGACATTTTGTGAAGCATGTGTACCAATACTCAAACACATAAACCAAGTACAGAGTAAGAATGTACTATGAAGAAATTAAAGAGAATTGAGGGCAGGTTACACATCTAGCTAGCAGTTGTAAATTTTAGCAAAGCAAGGGGCGTATTCAAAGTGATACTTGTTTAAGAGAACTAAATCCTGTTCTCAAGCTTCGACTGTACCTCCATAACTTAAACTCTATAATTTTCTTGAAACAGATAAAATGAGACAGCCATCCCTATAAATTATAGCCGCGGTTGCATCGTTAGAATTTCGTCGTTAGTGCTTATCCAGGGTTCAAACTCGTAGCACTGTTGTTATACTCGTTGACATATAGGATACCACTTGACATTTAGCATCGTATGTCCAATAACACATCATATAACTCGTGTGAAAGGCCGCGCAATGGATTAATAATAGCTTACACATTACGCATATTGGTCTCTCAATTGAAAGAAAATAATAATTATATTTACAGGGTAAAAAAAAAAAAAAAAAAAAAAAAAAATGAAATAGTAATCTTGCTTTTCATGTACTGTATCACCTTTGTGTTTGTGTGTGTGTATGTGTAAAACATCATGACAATATTTATTGCTATCAAATATGGGTTGGCGGGTTACTCAACGGATATGAATGTGTTCAGATTAGTGATTTCTCTCAAAGACGTGATTCTATCTAGTATGCTATTTACTTATGTATTCTTCAGAGAGGAGAGAAACGCAGTTGGTACGGATTTAGGTAACACCATATCTTTTGTCTTTGTGATATAAAATCTCGTGAGAGCAGTTATTTTCTGCTCTTACATGACCTCAGAATGAACAAAAAAGGCACTTTTATCAAGATGGTTGAACCTTAACTTATCTTTCCCACGAAAAAACTTGAAAACGATACCTGTTGATGGTAGATTCTGGTATTTTACAGAGAATATGTAAAAGAGAGAAAGGATCTCTTGTTATAAGATCGAAAGAAACAAGGAGTTGCTGCATTGGATTACATTTTAAGCTAAATAACATTTCATCGCACTCGCCTCTCCCTCTCTAGTTCTTGTTTGGAATAGTTTAAAAAATGTGGTACATTTGACAAGATAAAGTAAGATCTTTAGGAATTGAAGCCGCGATGTTAAGGTATGACAAACAAGTACAAAGGAAGGGTGTGCTGTTGAAAAAAGGGTGCATTTCGATGAAACCAAACAGCAAAGCCTGATTTAGATCTGTTAGCTGTTCATGTTATCATGCGTCCATTTCCTGATTTAATCAATGTTTCCTAATGCGTCTACACAGCTCAATTGAAGAATGGCATCTGTGAAACAAGCAATTTATACCTGGCAAGCTGATTTTCTTAGTTTTTTAACATATGTCTTTGCAATGAGTGGCTGTTCAGCATTTAAAATATCCAAATGAAGCGATCCCGAAGTTACGGGTACCCTCTCGAATGACTTTTATTAGACTGTGCGAAAAAACGATTGGATGGTGATGTTGTGTACTTTTTAACGCTTCTATTCGGGTAATATTACCTGATCATTTTTTCATGATTGCATGCTGAAAAAAAAAAGGATCTTAAATTAGAATGGATCTTAAACGTATTATCTATCAGTAAACGATTTTTTGAATCTCCAACAAAAAAAAGTATAAGATTACTATATTTGACATTCAAGTGGAACCAATGGAGAAATGAACCAAAGCAAATAGTATGGGTTTGTGATTCGCAATTTCCTAGATCAGTTACCACAATAAGGCCGAATCAGGGTTACTTGAGGCAGCTATTATGCTCCTTTATTTACACACAACATATAGAAATGCCTCTTTCTTAGGATTTCTTCTATTAAGGGTACAATTATAATTTCACCACGATTATAAAAAGTTTATCCACATGGTAATTTCTATAGAACAAAAGAAAGTTTTTCAGGCTCACCCTCCTATTTTTGCTATGTTTCAATTCAATTGACTCATATCAAAATACAACAATTACACTGGTGGATCAAATTCTTTCTCAGATATTTCGCCATAATATAATATCCCTTCTCTTTCGATGCTTGGACTTTGCATCATGCCATTTTTTTAGCAAAAATGCAATTGCAATGCCATAGAAATGGCCGTATAGAATAGTTTCTTGCTGCATATTTGCAATTTAAAGATCAAATTCGACACCAACACCTGCGCCATATCAAGGGATTTTTGGGAATAAAATGTTTTATAATCAGGATCTGCGAAATGAAGCTAATCGAAGGGGCAAAGTCCGATAAGGTTTATTAAGGTGACAACAGAATTATGATTGGATTCTGATACAACTCACAGCTCATCACCGCTGAAGATTGACCTGAGCGTGAGAAACGACTGGTGGAAACTGAGTTATTGTGAGAAAACATGCCATGTGGTCAGTTGAAAATACTTCCAAATGTAGTAAATGATAATTTTTTTTTGTCATCCCTCTTTTATAAATCTATTTACCCAAAGAAAAATGGAATCTACAGAAGCAAATCCTTTTGTATTAATACTATTTATATAGAATAAAAGCCTGTTCATAGACATTTAGCTACATTTATGTATAAAAATTGTCAAAATTTTCAAACAAAGTTGCACAGCATATTGCAAGTGATTCGCAATCTCGCAAACACAAATGTAAATTTAAATCATAAAGTATCATATGGCAAAATTCAGTGCTCTTGTCGAATCAGATCTAGTGCTACATGTAATGATTGGTCTGACATTTTAAGGGAACTTATTCGTTCAATCGGCAAGATAAAGTATACTGATTAACTAATATGATAAAAAAAAAAGTATATAAAGCATTGAGATCAAACAATCCCGAAATACTTCATCTTTTTTCCCACTTCTTTCTCATTTCCCTCATCTACCTATAATGTCTGAGAAATTAGAACACGAAAAGGCCTCTGATATCGTCGCCTACGAGGAGACTGATATCCATGAGGAAGAGCATAACAGACCTGAGCCTACCGAGCAAGATTGGAAGGATTTGCATCAAGTTGCTGATGAGCTCCCCTTTTCTGCTTTCCTTATTCTCATCATTGAATTCTGTGAACGTTTCACCTATTACGGTCTTTCTGGTCCCTTCCAGAATTATATCCAAAACCCTGCTCCTCCTAGTTGTAAGTACTAAATCATGACATTCTACATTTGATATACTGATCACTTTCTACAGATCCCGCTGAACAAGCTGGTGCTATGGGTAAGGGCCAGCAAACTGCCACTGCCTTGACTACCTTCTTCCAATTCTGGTGTTATATTACTCCCATTATTGGTGCCATCATTGCTGATCAATACCTTGGTAAATACCGTGCCATTCTCCTTTTTGCCTGTATCTACTTTCTCGGTTTGGTCATCTTGACTGCCACCGCTTCTCCCATGGGTATCGAAAACGGCGCTGCCTTCCCTGGTTTCATTGTCTCTATTATTATCATTGGCCTCGGTACTGGTGGTATCAAGTCTAACGTCGCTCCTCTCATTGCTGAACAATACCAATCAAAGGCACCTTACATCAAGACTCTTAAGAATGGTGAGCGTGTTATCGTCACTCCTCAAGCTACATATCAAAGAATCTTCACCATGTTCTACTGGTTGATTAATATCGGTAAGTTTCTTGCGCAAATCTGATTCAATTCATGATCTAACCTTACATTTTCTTACCAACTAGGTTCTCTTTCTTCGATCGCTACTACTGAATTGGAAAAGAACGTTGGTTTCTGGCCTGCTTACCTCTTGCCTACTCTCATGTTCATTCCTGGTATCGCTGTCATCTACTTTGGTCGTAAACGTTATGTCCAAACTCCTCCTCGTGGCTCTATTTTCCTCGAAGCCGGTAGACTTATCAAGTATCGTCTTTTCACCGTCAGAGGCTCTTTGGATGCCTGCAAGCCCTCCAACCTCGCTGTCTCTCACCCTGAACTCATTGAGAAGGCTACTTGGGACGATATCTTTGTTGATGAATTCAAGCGTGCCCTCAGAGCTTGTACCGTCTTCTGCTGGTATCCCATTTACTGGCTTTGTTACAGTCAAATCTCCAACAATCTCATTTCTCAAGCTGGTACCATGTGGACCGGTAATGTCCCTAACGATATTATGCAAAACATTGATCCCATCACCTTGGTTATCACTCTTCCCATCATGGATCGTATCGTCTACCCTACTCTTCGTCGTTATGGTATCAACTTGGGTCCCATCTTCCGTATCTCTCTCGGTTTCTTCTTCGCTGCCGTTGGTATGGCTTATACTGCTGGTATCCAATCCATGATCTATGCCAACACCTCTGAATATCCCATCTCTGCCGGTTACCAAATCCCCTCATATGTCTTTGTTGCCTTCTCTGAGGTCTTTGCCTCCGTTGTCGGTAACGAATACGCTTACAAGAAGGCTCCTCAATCTATGAAGTCTATTGTCATGGCTCTTTTCTTGTTAACCAACTGTTTCGCTTCTATCCTCGGTTTCGCTTTGGTTTCCGTTGCCGTTGACCCCAAGTTGACTTGGATGTACACTGGTATTGGTTGTGCTAGTTTCGTCTGTTCCATCTTGATCTACATTATCCATCACAAGAATGATGCCACTGATATTGAAGATGACGCTATTGGTCGTTCTGGCGATGCTCTTAAGCAGTACGATAACAAGAACAAGAAGACCAACGAGGTTGAATACGAACTTGAGAAGAACTAAGTTCATCCCTTCCCTATATAATTATCATATAATCTCTTAATTTAATGCCACACATTCACAACGAACACAAAGAAAAAACCCTGTTATTATGTAATATTTCTCACTCTCTCCAAACGCAGCAGGGCTGTTGATAACATTTTTCTCTAATAAATATCATATATCCATTCATTTTTTTTTATCAAATTACACTTCTTCATCGAATTCTCCTTTTGTACATTATTTCTATTTTGAGCAAACAGAATATGATTTCAGACGACAATTTCAACTAAAGGGACCCGTGAGAAGATCAAAATGTATCACAGTAGAATCGTCAAACGATACACCAAAATTATAAAAGGGTTTTCTAGATTCCTATCTATCAAATCTAAATAAAGATATTATCTGACCCTGCACAGGTATAAATGGGGTTCCCTGAATAGATTATTTACAGCTGTATTCAACAAGAATTTGTAACAGCTTGCTTTCAGTGAACAACATGTAGTATTTACTGATTCAAATGCTTCATATTCATCAGACGCATGGATAAATGTTGTTGCTTTACAATCAGAGTGTGTAACTTAATTTTAATTTCCTTGGAGGTGCCCAGTCCTAGATCCAAGAAGTCTGTGGCACTCTGGTGAACCCGGTTTTGCACTTTTTACTGACATTTCATAATCGTATCACTCCATAACGACATTCAGTGCAAACCTGTACTGGTGCATCCTATGTTGTTTAATTTACAAGGTCCGTCTCTGCTTGGCATTGCGTGTGCTTCTAGATGTATGATTTTCTCTTGGCAGGACCTTATACTGCAGCTTTTTCTCCAGGTCCAGCTGTCAAATGTTTACCATAATGCCAATAAATGGATCTCAACCCACATAGTAATTTTTGTTTGTACATTGGACTATCAAGCTTGACATCTGTTGAATTTCAAAAAGCAGCGTTTTTGTGATCCATGGCATCCAATGTACTGTCAGCCCAGATATGAAAGTGCTTTATGGCCGAGTGGCTGCTGATTGCCCTGAATTTACAACCACAGCAAGTTTGCCCCGACCAATCTCTTATAAGCAGTTCGGGAGTGGGCAATTTTCATCGGATCATCTCAGTTGAGTTGTCCAAAAATCAGTTTCAGCTTAAAATCCGAGTTTATTCAGGTTTATGTATGAGATTGAAACTGATGAAAAAGAAGCACTGGCTGTGAGTGGGTATAATGTTCATTGAGCTAAATCTCTCAAGGTATCCAATTTCTTTACTATAAATTCATATGTGAAGATGGTAACAGCAGAAGCTGGAACAGTGCGCAAAAGATTGGCCGAAATGCCCTTATAAAATCCATGCACACCCTCTTCATACATGATAACCTTGATGGCATGAAGTACGCCGTTGTACTTGAAAGGTTGTATCACTTGATTTTGCAGTCTGGTACGGATCACCTAGAGACGTATGATTAATGCAGCTGTCATAAACAATAGAAATCCGTTCAAACCTCATGCGGATACGTTGCTGTGCTTGCTATCATCTTGGAAACTGCAGAAGCCATTAAAACACTCGCTGTTTCTGACTGCCTTGTTGAAAGGACGGATTTCAGCCTTTCATACAATGGAAACTGGATCGCCACATGGCTTACACCGATCAAAGAAGGCCCTAATCCCTTATAAAACCCTCGAATACCCTCATGCTTTGCAATTAAAGCAAAGGCCTCCATGACCGAGTTGTAGCGATATGGTGTTCGCACTGACTGTGTCTACGGATGGCTTTCAACGGTCAGCACACCTTTTATGTTTGCATTGAACATGGATGATGTTACCATAAATCTTGTCTTGATGACCCAAACAGGACTGGTTAGAGTCGTTGATACGATGCCTGCCGTCATAGCTGATGCTATGTGTGCGAGCCAATCATTTTCTATTTGATTTGTTGTTGATGCCGTTGATTACCACATGCTCTCAAGCAAATTTTCTCACAATCATATATAGAAACTTACCAATGTCGTCGTTTGCCCAACTTATTTTACAGTAATCATAGACAGTAAAGTATATTCCCCAGGTATTGAGATAGCCAATGACTGTAGGGCCAAGTCCTCTGTACAATCCTCTTATGCCCTCCTCTAATCTGATTCTTTTGATTGTGCCTAGAAAAGAATACGAGCTGTTTAATGCGCTGGCTGGCTTATCAGATTTTGCATCTAGTACCCATCGTGCCTCTATATTTGAGGTTGCCTATGCCCTGATTTTGCAGTCTGGTCTTTACAACATCAAGGGGACAGGTTACAACTGATGATATCACACCAGCGCCAGCGCCGGCAATAGAATGCTTCAATGTTTCATGTGTTTGTCTACATGATTAAAAGAAATGAAAAATTGTTATTCGGCTATGTTTCCCCAGGCTGGTTTGATTGAAGCATCATACACAAAATCTCTACACCAGTTGGTAGCGTAACTCATCAAAAATAGCGAAAATGCAATGCGTATTGGTTTAAGAGAAGGAGAAATATATATATATATATATATATATATATAGAGAGAGAGAGAGAGAGAGAGAGAGAGAGAGAGAGAGAAAGAGATGAAAAAAGAAATAAGATTTAAATAAGATTATCAGTCGTTTCAGCGATAATTTGAATTCTCGTATCACAAAGCTCCTACCTTCAAATTCTGCAGGAAAGAATAAGGAGCATTGCTTAGCTCTTTTACTACTTGCATACAACTGTACAATGATCTGGGGCCATGTCGCATGCTTTGATTTCAAGCTAGTGCATTTGACCAAGATAAAATCCAGAGCACAAATTGCTTGCAGGCATTACAAGTAGTTTTTACTAGCCGATTAATCTCACTACGCTCGATGACAGCGTCGCTCTGCGGGCTCTCACCGAAGACATTTTAAATCAGAGAAAATAAAAATCTGGTATACCAAGTACATTTTAAACAATCAATCAATAGTAAAAAAAAAAAAAAAAAAAAAAGCTATATCATCAGAGCCAGGAAGGGGAAGTATCTAACCGCCGATGTTGCTCTTGAAATGGCGGCATAAAGCTGGCCATTTGTAAATATAGGACTTGTGTAAGATCTACAGCGACGTTTTTAAGATATTGTCATTACAAAAGGCATCTTTATGAGGTAAAATACCCCAGAAGAAATATTTGAGCTAAGCAATTGTCCTTTCAATTCTATGATCTCCATTTAATCAGCATCGCAATCATTATTGGCATCATCAAAAAGGCATGTGGGCCAGCCAGCAGCAGCGCCGCCTGCCAAAATAGATTAAAACTCAGTTTATTTTTTCTGTTCGAGATTGGCCAACTTTTGTTTTTTGCCGACTTTTTTAATCTATTTTGTAGTATTCGACTATAAATTGTGATTATCATCTGATGCTTCCTAATACACTCTGCCCCTGGTGGTAGGGCGAAGTGGTAAAACTCCCGTATGCCAACGGGAGGATCCCGGTTCAAATCCTGGTGGACGCAAGTTGTTTGATTTTTTGACGTAGTACTGATGTCCTCGTTTGGTGTTTTTGTACTCTTATCCATGATCTATATTTTGACGATTTTCGCAAGACTGTACTGGCTCTAGGAGTCGCACCTTATTAGTAGTAGATTTCTTTCCCAACTTAGTTCAAAATATCTTATTCCCCTTCTTTGCAGACATTGGGTCCACCAACAGTCTTTTCTTTCCCTCAGCATGACATTTTAAGGACTTTAAATAAAACCTGGAGCTCGACTCCCCTACAAAAAAACAAAAAAAAAGCTTCCTAATACACTCTGTATGACATTTAAAGGACTTTAAATAAAACCTGGAGCTCGACTCCCCTACAAAAAAAGCTTCCTAATACACTCTTGGAATACGTTTTATGGCGCTTCCAATGATGCCAAGTAAGATAGATGTTTTAAATCAACTTATTGAGCAATTCTAAAAAAAAGTGGAATGTGGTTTTTGGCCAAAATGTCGAAATTTTGCATATGAAAACCTGATAAAAGTGGTTTTAGGAGTTGCTTTGGGTTTGGAGAAACATTTTGATTTAATATATATCATAGTAAAAGTCTTCATTTTCAAGGCGAAAAATGCGATTGTTTGATTTTCGATGAAAACCATAAGGTACCCCTCATGCTTTTTGGTCGATTTTTGGTCGATTTTTGGTCTTGTTTTTTTGGGTCTTCAAAAAGTTGAGCAAAGGTGTCAGGAAGTTACTAGTACTCAAATACAATTGTTTGGCGTTATTCCGGTGGTTCAGAAAGGTCTACATGTTAAGATATGAAGGCTTGAAAGCCGTCAAATTTGGTTATATATTGCTTTATAGAGTTTATTTACACGGTATGAATCACATCTTTAGTAGCTGTAACTTATTGGAAGGGCAGTTCTGCAGCCTGTGCAGCTTCTAATTCGAACAGTAGGCATATTGATTTCGGTAAAGCTGGTTCATGCAAATTTTGATGCGATATATTGCTGGTAAGCTTATTAACAGTAGAAGCGAAAACCCGAATTTGCTGCTTGAACACTATGAATTTACACCTTTGCTTGGCTATGGTAAAACCTATTAAGACTGATATTACCAAATGCTGAATTAGATGCAATCTCGCTACGCTTGTATATATATTTGATTTTTATTGATACAGATGTGGAGGATCGTGAAAAAGTCAGATCGACAGCTGCAAGTCGTTGATGGAGGGTTATTGGAATGCCAAAGAATGAAACAACTGTATAAATTAGCAGAACAACGGCATATCTAATACTACTATCTGACTTGCCCGTTAGGGATTTTCATCCAAAGCACTTTAAAGTGCACTCAAGACGCAAAGATCGACTGATGGAATCAGGCTCAGTAAGACTGTATTATCATCCTGCTCATGTTTAGGGCTTTCAAGTGCATTCTATAACAGAATCTTATTTGTAGGACGAAATATAACGGCTTTTTATTTATGCTGCTACCTCTTCTTACAGTAAAAGTCCATGTAAATTCAAAAATACTGATAGTATTGCAATATAAAAGACAACTGGCATCAAATGGTGCCTTTTGCTAGCCATGGATGAAGAGACGATATCTGTTCTGATGAAATCATCTAGTGATGAATCCATGTATAGTACTTTGATGACGCTGGAGTCTTCGTGCTCAACACCTGTCAACCGAGATATTTCATCTACAATATCATTACTCTCTGTTCTTGAACTGATGGCTAAAGTTGCAGATTCTCTCACTTTCTCGATCAATGCAACAGGGGTGTAATCTTGTTGAGAAAGTAAAATAGCCATGACACCTGTGACATGAGGTGCTGCCATGGACGTGCCTGAGAGCGTGTGTATTGCAGTTCTATGATTGTGCCAGACAGATGTGATGGCTGTTCCTGGAGCATAAATACTGACGCAAGATCCAAAGTTTGAGTAGGAAGCAATCGAATCATCTTGATCGATGGCTCCAACTACGAGTGCATTTTTAGCGGATGCAGGTGAGTATCTGCACGCTTCTTTTCCTTGATTTCCAGCTTGCCAGAGCGTTAATACATTATTTTATCTAATAGAGCGTTTCAACATATATACCTGCTATTGAGAAATGTATCCCAAGCTCTATGGCTTGCTCAATTGCTTGATTGGTTGGCAGATGAAAGTCGGCAGCAAGTGATAAGCTAGGTCAATGTTAGGATATCAAAACTTGCAAGCATATAAAGTAATTCATACTTTATGATGGATTTTGCCCCCGGATTTGCTACATGTCGCTTCACAGCCCAGTGCAAGGCCAATAAGATATTGCTGAGTCTTCCAGAACCACCTTGATCAAGCGCTTTCAGTGAGATGATATTGGCCTTTTTCGCTACACCGTGTACTCTTCCTATTAGATCATATCATTAGTATGTGTTAGCGCTATGTTTACTACTATCCTACCGCAACAGATGCCGGCAACAAAGCTTCCGTGGCCGTTGTTGTCAGTTGGATCTTGATTTCCACCTGACGTAAAAGCTGGACCATGTATTGCGCGACCATCAAAATCAATATGATCAACATTGACGCCGGTATCAATCAGATAGACGTCTACGCCTTCACCTGCGGATGAAGGAAAATGAAATTTATCGTCTTCTCCTTTGCGCTGATCAATTCTGTCAAGTCCCTAAACCATGGTACATCAGCCATTGCATTTCGATATCTATCAAACTTTGCTTACCCAGCTTGGGACATCGGTTTGCACTAGTTCGGTCATGTGAAAGATAGGATCATCCTTGTGTAAATGCGAGACATGTTCGTTTTGAGCAAGTACTTGAGCGTCTACATCGTTCATCGAGTCAACATACCAATGAAAATTACCAATGGAGTAAATCTCTGGTATCGATGTCCTGTTGTTTCGAAAGGACGATAATTTATTTGCTATCCGGGTAGTAGAACGTTTCTGAAGGCTGGGCATCAATGAACTTTTATTGCTTGCTGCTACCGTCGATGAATTTAAAAAGACAATGTACGGATGAATAGAGCCTCGTGCAGCTGCTTCAACCAAGAGTAGTAGCGTGATGAGACAGAGTATAAATACTGGAGCAATCATGTTGATATTGGGTATAAGGATAAAGTAAAAAACATAAAAGAGATGTATTAAATCATGTCTCGACTCGTTTTAATTGTTTTATGATATATGAGATGAACCTTTCTCTATGCCGATATCCGTTTTTTGCAAGTGTGAAATCAAATATTCATAAGAATGAATCATAACTTCGGTTAAATTGTAGATACGCTTTAGAGCTCCTTAAGCTATAATGTCTATAGATGGCGAAGGTATACAAGCATATAATCGTAATCTCATAGATGTTCTACACACAATCTTCTATTCTACATGTGCAATGTTAACCAGGAGTCCACGTTTACATTGAAGGAATAGGGAGGAGGGCTGTATTTGAATCACCAGGTAACCGTATCACTGAATCAATGCATCTCTGGGTTCCTTCTGTGCTCTACATATTGACGTATTTTTGCATCAAAAGCAGTTCCATTCGAATAAAACAACCCACACACTGCTAAATGCTACATACAAGAGATCTTCAGGCACGTTCAATTCAGGGCATTGGAAATTGCCTTTTAAATGACATCACTTGAGGTTACAAGGGTCTGTGCATGAATAGAAATGGCATTTATAAGAAGATCACCCCATTCCATCGTGTATTGACACTCGTTTCATCAAAGTCTTACATTGATTCACTATGCTCTCCGTTGCTACCAAGCCTTTCCAACATGCTGCACTCAAAACAACTGCTTATCGTTCCCTGGTAGCCGTACGCTCCAAGGCAACACTACCCAAGTTACCCTATGGTTACGACGTGAGTACAGTTACAGGATTCAGCGCTTAGCACATTCACTGAGCCATGGTATGCTCTATAGGAATTGGAACCTGTCATTAGCAAAGACATCATGGAGACCCATCATGCCAAGCATCATCAAACCTATGTCAACAATTTCAATGTAGCTGAAGAAAAGTTTGAAGCTGCTGTCAAGGCCAATGATTTAGCTCAACAACTGGCACTTCAAAATGCTCTCAAGTTCAATGGTGGTGGTAAGTTGTCCTCTCTAAACAAACGTATATTATGCTGAGCCATCGTGGACAATCCAACTCAGGCCACCTGAATCACAGCATCTACTGGGAGAACCTGGCACCCAAGAGTCAAGGAGGTGGAGAACTTCCCAAGGGCGCTTTACTCTCTGCCATCCAAAAAGAATTTGGATCCATGGATAATTTTATTGAGAAATTCAACGCTGTTGCCGCCGGCGTTCAAGGTTCTGGGTGGTGTTGGCTCGGCTACAATAAGGCTGCTCAGCGTGTTGAGATTGCAACCTCTGGCAACCAAGATATTTTGCAAGGACTTGTTCCTTTGTTGGTCATTGACGTTTGGGAACACGCCTATTATTTGCAATATAAGAATGTGCGTGCTGACTATCTCAAAAAGGTGTGGGATGTCATTAACTGGAAGACTGTAGCCGAGCGTTTCGCAAAGGCTCAGCATTAAGTTGCAAATTATTAAAAATTGGATTTCAAAAATGCCTGTTCCATAAACAAAAGTCTCTTTCGTATCGATGATATATACTTTGCTGACGATAGCAATCACTGTGCCAATGAGCATGTCTATCAATCATGGTTTTGTGATCTGGGTGATTGCATTTGACAATATCCCCTCCCTCGGGATTCAAGTACCTTTTTGCCTGCATTTTGACATGAGATCAAAGAAATGCAGACGATATCCAACACTGAATATCGCATGCTATTGCATTGATATATGACTCAACTTACTGCTCAATCGAAGGCAGTGGATGTGATCTCCTCAGCTTTGATGGCAGTGATATAGAGTCACTTTTTGGCACCCATACCAACCAATCCAGTCCTCATAAAATCAGAGTGGGCCATGCTGACCCTTTCAATAAACCCCCCTGGGGCTAATTTGACACATTTTTTTTTTCCTACTCTCTCTCTCATTTTCATCATGTTGGCTCTTAAGCATACAGTTCCCAAAGCTTGTACACAGCTCCGTGCATGTGTCCAAGTCTCACAACAACGCTGGACATCGTCTACTACACCACAAAAAGCTGATGAGAAGCCTACAGGTCAAATGGAAGGAATTTTGAATGCCTTGGGTGTTTCAAAAGACTATGATGCATCATCCATCCTGAGTGAAGCTGCTGCCAACACCAGCAAGAACGATAAAAAGACTTCCAGCCTATTTGCCTTGAATAACACTTTTACGCACACCTTAAACAATTTGAACCAAAGCCCTCATCAACTTCACATCAATGCCACTTTCAACAACACCATCATCACATTGACTCGCCCCAACGGTGCACCTCTTGTCACCACTTCAGGCGGTTCAGCAGGATTCAAGAAGGCTGCTCGCAGTGGATATGAAGCAGCCCACCAAGCTGCTATACAGTTATTGGAAAAGATGGATGTAAAGAACTTGCAAGTGCCCAATGTCCATATTGTGCTCAAAGGATTCGGTCCCGGTCGTGATGCCGCATTCAAGGCTTTGGTGAGCGGTACATCATGGAATGTGAAGCGCATTACAGATGCGACACCTATTCCTTTTGGTGGCTGTAGACCCAAGAAGGCTAGACGTCTCTAATCCTGTTCATAAATAACAACACTGTAGAATACAATAAAACACAATTGAAACATCAAACATGCCTTTTCTTTATTTTAAACAGTGGTTACAGGTGGTGGGGGAGGAGCAATGTGCGATGGTGCTGTTGATGATGCTGCCATGCCTTCAAACATACCATTCTTCTCATTCTTGTAAAAGAACTGCAGCGAAAACTGCTTTGCATCCTGATCCCAATGTGTCCAAAATTTGCCTGGCGTCTCATCGATTTTATGACTTTGAATCTTGAACGCAATAGACTCGTAAGGCTCTGCTGCGATGACTACGTATTGATAGGCATTGTTGGGAGGCTCGATTTTTTGTTCATACGCACCCATGAATCGATGGCGTGGTTTGACATCGTCTGCAATCTGAGGATACTGGATCTGGAATAATAGGCCTGATTGACGAGTAACTGGATCTCTCACTTTGGTGACTCGATAACCAGGTCTACCAATCTTGATAATGTTGCGGCGAGGAGCTACCAGTGGTTTAGCAGGGCCCACCGCAGGCTGAATGATGTTGGCTTCCTTGGCTTCTTTGGCAGCACGACGTGCCAAGTTGGTTTGATGCTTTTTACCTTGTGTGTGTGCTAAATAGGATCCTTCGCTGGTGTGTAATGTCAAACACAGTTTACATTCGTATGAGCCCAAATGGTTCTTCATGAAATAGGGATCTTTGCTGATATCAATCGTCTCCATGGCCAACTTGCGAAGTCTTTCACGACGGTCCACATTAGATTCTGAGGCACTAGCCATACCTCCACCTCTGTGTTTGCTGCCTACTCGATTCTGGAAATCCATGGTGTTGTGTATATGTGTTGGTGAAAAAAGAGTGAAAAAAGAGAATTGATGCACTCTTGATTGGCCCTAAATAAGCCTTCTTCTGGCCGTCACATAGACCTGCAAAAGGATGGCCATCAAGGACAACCTGTTTAGGAACCTCTTGAAATCATGTCTGATTTTTCAAGCGATAGTGATGATGGTATTCTCTTCCAAGACAGACCAAACAACGCAAATTTCCAGGAACGTCTGATGCAAGCAAAGGAGAGCACGGAATCGGGCCCAATGGACCAAGACGCAGTAAGCATTGCGCCATCATTGCAAGAGAGATCTTGATCATTGATGCATTTATCTCATAGCGATTCATGGACTTTTACGACTCGGATGACACAGCCACATTGAAAAGCCAGTTGGAGCGATTGAGCAAGAAAGTGCTGCAAATGGAGAGCCGTGTTGAGGAAAGAGAGCAAAAGTTGAGAGCACGCAGACAGGAGCGAGACATGGAAGCTGGCCTTACCAATATGACTACAGAGGAGAGAGCAGCATATGTTGCACAACAAGAAGAGAAGGAAGCAAAATTGAGGAAGCAAAGACAGAAGCTACGAAAGAAACTGCTGAATGAGGAGATGAAGCAGCAGGTGGACAAAGGCATGGACTCCAATGATGAGGAAGAGGACGAGAATGGCCAGGAAGAAGAGGAGGATCCAGCGCACCCAACAGAAGACAAGCCCAACTGGGATGCTGTCTAGTAAGTAGCGTGTTTGCCTCTGTAATGTCTATTCCTATTGACGGCTTTGCAGTGAGTACATGCTGCTTTTGGAAAATGAGAATCAGGAGGATGAGTTGATATTTGGCAGTGACTTTGTAAGCCCAAATGCTCGAATGCGTCGAGAAGCGTTGACAAATGAACAAGTAACCAAGCAAACCAAGTATTCTGGCATTGTTGTGCAGCACGCAACACAAACCTTTGAGGATGACATTGAGTTAGGGACAGGCGAAGTTAGACATTGCACCTTGTCCGGTACATCGTATCATCTGCCATTCAAGGTGAAGTATGATGTGCGTGAGCCCAGCATGGTCATTGCGAATCTGGACTTTGAAGTGGACATAGAGATGCAATTGGCAGTTGGAAGTACATTACAAAAGTAAGCGCAGTAGGCCAACAGCAGAGAAGATAGAAACTGACTGGGAGCATGTAGAATCAAGAACGAGTGTCACTTGCTAGGCTTCTTCCGATTATTAGTGCACTATGCCAAGCTGGAAAACAGCAGAAAAGAGATTTTCAACCTATTGATGGACCATTATAAAGATACCCCAGTGAATGTAATCATGCTTTCACAGCACAAGCTTCAATTTGAGGGCGCTGCGTAAGTGTTGTCATGGGCTATGATTTAAACATGTATTGATGTAGCTATATTTAAAGCAATTGCGGCATCAACCTGCTATTGTCCTGGAAGCTAGTAGAGACACATACGGACAGAGAAAAACTAGATGCCAATATTACGAACGATGTGAAGCCTGATTTAACCATGGAGGCAGTGGCACTGCCAGCAGGTAAGCAATTGATGGTAATGTGTAAGTGAAGGCATACTGAATCGAATTGTAGTGATAGCAAAAGACGCAAATGGGGTATTGGACAAGGTGAATGATGCATTTATCCACTCGTTGATGCAAAAAGGGGTTTACCAAGGAACAAAGTATATTGTAGACAGCATTCTATCCACTAATAAGCAACAGACCAAATAAAGGTAATGAGCTTGATGCTCAACAAGTCAGAAGCTTGTTATGTATCTTCAAATCCAAGTCAATGATAAGAGATAACAGAGACGGCAAGGTGCTGCATCAATGTGAGCCTGAGTTGCTCAAGATAGATAATTACCCATCAACTCAGCATTAAACAGCTGCTTGGCTAGTCTGCTACTGTGCGCACACAATTCATCAGTAGCAATGGGTCCGCAAATGTATAATATGCTGCATGTCAATGCCCCCCCGTCGAACCATTAGTTACTAGTAATGGTTTGTTTCTGTAATCCTTCCAAAATTTTGTAGTATTGAGAGCCGGGCAAAGGTGAATAAAGCCACTGGCGAAGCCGACAATGGGGAGGGGGTTTTGGGGAAGGGTTTAGCCCCTCCACCAAAAACATGATAATGCATCTAATCCAACATGGGGTAGCATTGATTTATAGGGCAATTTTACCGTAGCGGAACAAAAATGCAAAGCCATAGTAATCAGGCATCTAATCCAATACTTGGCAACATTGATCTATATGAGGACTTGATCGCAGCGAAGCGAAGGCTCAAAACCATAGTATTCAGCAGCAAATTCGATTTCTCATTCCCTAAATTAATAATTGATTGTCTAAAATCTACTTATATAGCAGATTTTTATTATTACTGATCTGAAATGTCTACGGCGACAGCCCGCCGGGCGACACCGTTGTCAAGCGCAGCGAGATTGCATCTAATTCAGCATTTGGTAATATCAGTCTTAATAGGTTTTACCATAGCCAAGCAAAGGTGTAAATCCATAGTGTTCAAGCAGCAAATTCGGGTTTTCGTTTCTACTGTTAATAAGCTTACCAGCAATATATCGCATCAAAATTTGCATGAACCAGCTTTACCGAAATCAATATGCCTACTGTTCGAATTAGAAGCTGCACAGGCTGCAGAACTGCCCTTCCAATAAGTTACAGCTACTAAAGATGTGATTCATACCGTGTAAATAAACTCTATAAAGCAATATATAACCAAATTTGACGGCTTTCAAGCCTTCATATCTTAACATGTAGACCTTTCTGAACCACCGGAATAACGCCAAACAATTGTATTTGAGTACTAGTAACTTCCTGACACCTTTGCTCAACTTTTTGAAGACCCAAAAAAACAAGACCAAAAATCGACCAAAAATCGACCAAAAAGCATGAGGGGTACCTCATGGTTTTTCTTGAAAATCAAACAATCACATTTTTCGTCTTGAAAATGAAGGATTTTACTAAGGCATATATTAGATTAAAATGTTCCTCTCATCTAAAGCAACCTATGAAACTGCTTTTATGAGGTTTTTTGTGCAAAATCTGGCTGTTTTCGCTAAAAGCCTCATCTCATATTTTACAAAATTGCTCGATAATCTTATTCAAAACATTTATTTTAATTGACACCATTGGATATGTCTTGAAAAGCTCCCCTAGATTGTATTAGAAGGTATGGGATAATCTTCACAGTTTCTATAGTCGAATATAGCAAAGTAGTTCAATCAAGTCGAAAAAAACAAAATTTAGCCAATCTGATGCATAAAATTTGTCTGAAGTTTAATCAATTTTGGCTAGTGGCCATAATGCTTTTCTCATGAAAGCAATAGATGTTCGTGGTGCTTTCAAGTAGGGGGTTGCGAATTAAGAGTGATCTAGCTTGGCCAACTCAATTTCCTGTACTTTGTTGCTTATTCTAATTTGATTGATTCAAGCGTTGTAAAATGCCCATCGAAGCGTATATGCAAATACATGATGCCTTCTTCAAACCTGCATATGATGTGTCGAATGTCCTTGATGATCGAACTAAACAGACATTCAAGTCGGTTCTACCACAATATGTACCCTTCAAAGCAAAAAGATAGGTTTCAGTAACAGGATCCTCATTGGAAGATTGATTATTATGATAACTCCCTCACTATTGAACTAGAGTAGAGGGCTTTGATAACGTTGCGGTTGATTCTATGAAATTTCTTTAACTGAATCTTCAGAGCAAGCCTATTCATGAGTATAAAAGACATTTCTAAAGGCTGCACATATCCATATTACAGCAACTACTATGTCCAATATTTGTCAACTGCAATGTGCTCGCTGTACATTGCGTATTTGCCGCTGTCGATGCTGAGGTTCCAAGCAACTGCTCCCATTTAACAGTTGCTTACTGATACTTTACTTGTACATATTATGATTTAAAAAAGTATCTCATGTTTAAGACTTGCATAAACGGAAGTTGCTCTTCGGTTTTAAGAGAATCGACCAAGGAAATCAAGTATTTGATATAGTGCACACAACATCGTACCTGATTCAACAAACAGAGAGCAATTTCAGCATTGGATTTGCTCAAAGACATAGCTGCTATTATGTCAAAATAAAAGACAATTGCTCTCAAACAAGAGCATCGCTAACCGGTAAAAAGCTGTTACTATTTGCAACTGAATGATGCCATAATCAATATCATGTAAGATGACATAAACACTGCACGTAATACCCCCACCCCCCTGTGGAATACTGGAATGTATTTGCGGGTCCTGCATGTGAAAGAGACGGGTATCGCTCCAATTTAAATTAGTTTGTGTGCCAACGGATGGATACTATTTTGAAGTGCAGACTACCAGAGCGAGTATGTTCTTTTTAGTTTAAAGGGATATGCAGGATTACCCCAGAAAATCATGCCATTTTGAGCGGGCACCTTTCCTCAAAAGTATAGGAGCAAGATTCTGAACAACAACATTGCCAAATACAACACCTAAGCAATTTTTCCAACATGGTAGCATTATGTGAGTATATTTAGGGTTCAAAAACTTGCTGGTATATTTGCGAAAGCCAACGGAAGAGCGGGTTTAAGTTTTTGAGAGGGTGTTATAGAAGAAACAAGAAAAGAGCAACATGGGGGAGGGTATATCCACTGGAGCGGTTAGAAGCAGGAAAATATCTTACATAATGAGTGATTGGGTCCCTGTTCAACCATCAAGGGATATTATGTAAGTTAGATTCTCAGTCAGTCAAGCTCTGTAACTCAAACAAAATGAGGAAATAAAAGGGACCCATCTATTTGAGGAACCTTAAAAACCAACTTGACCAATCACTCCATGCGAATTTCATTCCATTTGGCTTTCAAGCTTTTTTCCAGGTTTTAAAGCGAGCCTAAAAAATGGAACCAACAAGAGTCTTCTTGATTGAAAAAAAGGGTTATACAAGAAACACATAGTTCAGTTGGGATTTCGCTGATTTTTTATAACGAGTGTGCTTTGGGTCTCTAATAGTACGGTTGTGCGCTGTGTAGATGCTGGATTCCATGGCTAGATCTACATTGAACAAAGAACAACCAATGTCTACGAGCCCTAATATGGTAAATTTACATTTCCCCGCCTTTTGTTTCGTTTTTCCCTCTGCGAAAACAAAACTTTCTTCCCGAATTCAGCAAGAGAAGAGGGGATGTTTCTTGTATTTAACTGTCAGCAGGTGCAATTCATCAACAAAGGAATATACACTAAGCTTTTTCACAATTTTATGAATCCCGCATGAAATAAAATTTCAAGCCAAACAATCTTTCGATGGCAAGTGTTGAGGTGAAACATTCCACTTAATTTTTCTCTCTTGGAACATGAGAAACGCAGTAATGTGCCATCTATTTCTACATTTGAGTGTCAAGAAGTCAGAGAAGCTGAAGAGCAAGCAAAGAAAGAGACTTGAAATAATTTTGCCGCATTGAATTATCATATTGTGAGAAATTGATCCCTGACGAACGGAAGGAACCATCTCGTAATCAAACATTTCCCGTCTATTTCCAGTTTTGCAGTTTTTCTCTCGCCTAGTTTGCAAAATAGTATAAATAGGCTTGATTCAGATTACCACTACCCCAGATAATTGTATTCCCTCTCTCTTTTTTCAAATCAATCAAAATGATGAACGATGAGGACAGACCATACAAATGTGATTTCTGTGACAAATCCTTCTTCCGCCTGGAGCATAAAGTGCGCCATGTCCGCACACACACTGGAGAAAGACCACATGAGTGCACATTTGAACATTGCGACAAGAAGTTTGCTCGATCTGATGAGCTCCAAAGACATATTCGAGTCCATAATTCACCGTGCACCATCACAGTGCGCCGCAGAAGAAAATCATCAAAGCTACCTGATGAAGAAGACTACATGCGCCAACAAAAACATTGCTCAATCTTGCGCTTAGCGCCGGCTGTGAATACACCTCATGTAAATATGATTCCTCCTGTTCAAATGCAAGATCAACAACGCAAGGCTCGTGAGCGCCGTGTTTCATCGTCTTCTGTACTCCACCATTGCCTTGCTTCTGGTTGCTTCAAGTCCTTCTGGAGAAAGGGTCAGCTTGTTCGTCATCTTGATAAGCATCACAATGTACATGTATCAAGGGAAGATGTTACAGACAAGGAAAAAATGACCCAGTTACTTGATTACATTCCTAGCTTGACTCATACTCGTCGTCTCTCGGATGCCTCCACATGCTCATCTCTGACATCGTCTCCTGGCTCAATTGCTACAGCCGATCCTTGTGTATCCCCTCAGCCTTTGATTGTAGAGCCATCCATCAGCTTTGATAGCGATGTGGTTATGAAGGTTCCCGAACAGAAGAATAAAATCACGGTACCATCACTTAGAGATGCTTTTATGCCTCCATTATTAACATCACCTCATACTACAATTTCCAATTGCAAACTTCCCTCATTTAGAACCTTATTCTCCAATTAATCTTGTATATACTTTAACCTTGTAAATAATTTCTTATGAATATATCCTAATCTTGTTTATGCTTTAATCCAATAAAAAACTATTATTATTATCTAGTATACAATATCGTATCATTCTGTTAATTAAGATTTTGATAGAAAAGTTCTCTTGAGAGCAACGAAAAAGAAGAGTCTGAAACAAGCGTTACTAATAGAAACAAACGCAGGTTACACTCCATTCTCACGACGATTGCAAATGGTACCTTGCTTTATCAGATGTTGCAAAAAAAAAAAAAAAAAAAAAAAAAAAAGTCATCATCGTGCTCTTATTAACATAATGTTGGTGTGTTGTATTAGTTCGCTACGTTATCAAGTGTAGAAATAAGAGAGCTTCAAGCGGCAGCGACCGATAATTTCGTTGCCGTAATTACCGCGACTGACTCGGCTGTGATGTACATGGCACTTGTGATTCATTGATGAACAATCTGTTGCTCTTTACTGCCAATGGGTTACTGTCTTGAGAGCTTTAAGACTGCATTCTTAGGTCCCTTAATATAAGAAACAAGTAGCTCTAATTTGTGGTAGCAATGCCTTGAAAATAGTCATCTTTTTTAGACATCTTTGATGAACCAGCAGAGCGAGAAGGAACTGAAGGGCCGAGTAAATTGTGTTATTTAGGGGTTTCTTTTCTTCCAATGCACACACAAAAGTTTCATTCCTCGCTCGGCTTGAGACGAAATCCATCATGAATTTGACAGCCATATCTGCCAAATGGATAAATCGAGATGATGGAATCAACCGAAAGCCGCATTATATGTATGAATAAAGAAAAATCTAGATATTTATTATATTATTTACATTTGAAATCGTGGATTACTTTTTCTTGTGTTCGGCCTCCATCCTTGCTTGTAATTCATCATTCACCTTCTTTAATTTAGTTCTCTCCTCTTCGGTTCCTCTGAAGCGCCATCCCTTCAATTTGCGACCAGCAGCCTTTGTACCAAGTTTACCTTGTTCCTGATCTAATTTACACCACTCTGGTTCCTTAGGCCAGTGGAAGGTTTCGTCAAGAGTGACAATAGCCTTCTTATAAGCTGATGATTGAACTTCCATTTTGCCATTTCGTGCCTTCTTGTGCACAGTTGCATAATTCATGGTGCGTACTTCTTGGACATTGACGCCGTAGATGTTGGTTAAATAAGAGTGAATATCAAACTTGTTACAGCTGGGTGGTACACGGAAAGCAACTTGGTTAGGTTGGAGATTGGGTGCTCTCACTAATTTGAATACAATGTTGGGTAAATAGACCTTGTCTACGAATGTTCGGTTAGATAATCAGTCGTTCTAAAAGGATCAGATAACATACTAAACCCTTGGCGAAAAGTAGTAGCCATCGTTTCTAACTTTTGCACTGTGTACGATGAAGGAGCAAAAAGGAAAAATAAAACAAGGTAGGGGGGTAGAACGAGAAGGGACAAGGTCCGCCTGTCCAATCTCTGTCTATGGAAGCTGTCCTAGGGAGTCACATAGCGATTCCCTGCCATCATGGTAGCCATTTGATTGGCTTCAAGCGTGGAAAAATAAAGGATTTGGCTTGAAGACATGGCATGTTAAAGTGTTGGAAAACAGCAACATCTTGAGCAGACATTTGTCACGTTATGAACAATGACATTTGAGACATTTCAACAACCTTTTTCAGGAGAAAAGAAATGATACACAATCACAAATAATGGCAATATGGCTTATTGTTAGTGTCGAGCATTAGTGCATTTTAAGTGGTTCCTTACCCAATCTTTTATACTTCATTTACCCATTTCTTTTTTATTTCGTGTATTTGGCTTTTTTTTTTATCCACTGTTTTATACATCTGATCAAGAAACATATCAAATGCCTTCATACATTACCTCTTCAAAGCTAAATGCGAATGAGACAGCATTATGTGGTGGCTTTGCTGGCCTAACAACCAGGTAACAGCCCGTTTTCACCAATGTCATAGACTTCAATTACTGATGATGGCTTGATAGAATGGCCATTTCACCACTGGATGTGGTAAAGATTCGACTTCAAGTGCAGCCAGAACCCTATACACTAAAGCGGATATTTACCAACCACGGTAGAGGCAGCGTTAAGTATTCAGGCATTGCTCAAGCGTTCAGAACCATCATCGCTGAAGAAGGCGTCAGGGTAAGGGACTTTCGATTTGCTAAACATTAAATCATGAAATTAATTGGCTTTCAGGGCCTTTTTAAAGGGAATGTCGCTGCAGAATGGCTTTATGTCACCTATGGTGCATCGCAATTTTACGCCTACTACTATTTGGATTCATTCTTAAAAACAGTAAATACAAACATGGATACCCCAGATGCTATGAACCACAGAATTGATTTTCTCCTAGCAAAACCAAATCTCACCTTCCATCAAGCCTTTCATTTCAGGAATGCTTGCTGGCAGCTTTGCCACTGCGACGACATACCCCTTTGATCTTCTTCGTACGCGATTTGCAATGCAAGGCACAAACAAGGTACAAAGCAAAATTGATGATGATGATTTGGTAAATCGGCATACTAATTCGGCTTTTTACTAGGTTTACAATAGCATTGCGCATGCTATATCGGATATTTTTGAAAAGGAAGGGCTCCGTGGATTCTACCGTGGTTTATGGCCTTCCATTACTCAAATCATGCCTTACATGGGCCTTATGTTTTTCAGTTATGAAGGACTATGCGCCATTACACAAACTCTCAAGGTATTGCATGCTTGTATATATTTGGGCTCAAAAAGAATAAACATCGTAAGAATGACGATGATGTATACTAACTTGCTGTCTCTGCTTACTAGGATAAACACATCATTTCGGAAAACCACAAACGAACAGACGATATGATATGTGGGTCCCTTGCTGGAATCATTAGCAAGACGGGCGTGTTTCCATTAGACGTTGTTCGAAAGCGATTACAAGTGCAAGGTCCTCATTTGATGGAGTACGTTGTTTCAACTATTCCCAGCTATGCTCAACAAAACACAGTGATCGGATGTATGCGTAAAATAGTATACACCGAAGGCGTGCTTGGACTATATAAAGGTATTGTGCCTGGCCTCTTGAAAGCAGGGCCCTCAGGAGCTGTCTACTTTTTGATGTTTGAGTTAGCGAAGGATGGCATTACTAACCTGAAAGACTCTGGATTCCAAATTGTACCTGAGAAATCTGTATTCAACGTCCAGTGATTTGCATAATTCATACCAATTTATTAGTTTTGATAAATACCGAAAATATACCCTTAATAAACTTGTCTAGTCTTGCACAAACCTACAGTCGCAGCAGAATCCCAACTTTAAGTATTTTTTTAATTTTTTTTTTTTTTTTTTTTTTTTTTTTTGCAAACCAGCAAATTTCGACATTATTCTGATTACAAAGCTGGTATCTTCTTGTCCAGATAGATTCTAGAAAGTAATTCTTTTCTTTGGATGATGTGGCTCGAAATATGTTTGGTTGGAAACTTATACTGGAATGGGTCTAGTTTGTGAGGCGGTCGGGAAAAAGCTATATAGTTTTAAAAGCATGACGCCACAATATTTCTAGTATCATCCGTCAATAACTTGAAAGTAGCAACTTGTTAGGGAGAATATAGCTCGTTATAAGATCAGCGTCAGCCACATATTTTGGTGCCCAACATTCTCGAGCTATCATTGACTCAGTGTGAGATCCACAAGCGTTTACTGGCTTGACACCAACATGATGCACGTACCTGGACCTTTCAACCGTTCAAATGCGTCATTTTCAATAGCAACCACCATTGTTTTTTCCTCCTGGCCAGCTTGTAAAAAATACAAATGCGCATCGAATGGTATCACTTTTAACAGTTTTCTGAACTATTGCGTGCAAACAGGCTGATTCTTCTTCAATTTTTCGATATGTTTCCAAGGCAAGCAACTACTAAATAACTGCCAACGTAGCCCCCTATTGCTATTTTAAAGCGAGGGAATATACATACTTTAAATTGGAAAAGTTATTATTCTTAAATAAAGCAAGCTACAACTATCTAATCTTAAAAGCAAGATTCTTCAACATGTCAAGTATCTATTGATAACTTGAAATCAACAAGTTAATATGGCCTTTTTCGTACGCTCCGATTTTTAAAATGCTTGGTCAAATACATACATGTGTGGTTTACACATGCCAAGGCTAAACGGAGATTCAATTCCTATTGCTCTGAATGATGATCCATGGGATTCCGAAATCTGTCGACCTTAAAATTACGCGTTTCTTGATAGTAACCGCCCCTTCAAACTTATATGGAACTTGTAAAGAATTCAAAGGAAAATACAATGGTATTTATATTAAGTGTTTGCTGTACATTGTTCAGCTAATATCTGATAAGTTAAATTTTGGAACTTTTTCACTGTTTTCTAAAGATTAATCAGTATCCGTCATTAAAACATTTTGTTAAGCATTACTAACCATTGTAGACCAAGAAATCTCCTATCGAATGAGCTATTGCCTGAAGCTCTGGCATAACTCTATCATGAAATATTGACAATACTGTCCTGACCAAAAAAAGGTCACCAGATTTTTTGCTTGCTATCACAGGCAGATTTTGAAGAAAAACTAATGATTTTGCATGATACCCTTTTTTGGCGATATCTCGACAAATACTCACCAGATTCGCACAGAACAAAAGCCATACGATAGCTCTACGTTGTATCCATCATTGTGTGAGAGTTTTTAGGTACCAAATGTTTTGGAATTTGCGACTTTATAAGACTAAAATTCACGAAAAAAAAGAATAAAAAACAATAAAGTCAACTTGCTGATAAAGGTATGTTTTATTATCAAACTGACAAGTGTCAGGTAAACTGAAGTATCTCTACTGGCCAGGTAGATGATCTTTCTTATATACTATAACAATGGATAAAAGTTCTATTAATTAGATTGACAAATAAGTCAACTCAGATCAACTAATGTCTAATCATGCTAAAAGACAACTCCAGCAAGCTAATCATGATTTAGCTCTGTCTGGATGAATAATTAGACTCTCATCCGAAGTACCCTGATCTATCCTTTCTATAAGGATAATTAATATCGATCTAGTAGCATGTATCCGATAGGTACAGTCTACTTAGTCTATATCAACAATAGTACATATCTGAGTGTATATCGCTGAGCATACATCTTTAGCATGTATCTGGATATATGGCATGTTTATAGCATATTGTATACAGGTCTATAGCATGTCTCATATATAGTAGTACAAGTCTGTAGTACATAAAGTATCTGTAGCTAGTATCACGGATATAAGCATGTGTCTTATAGCGTGGATCATAAAGTGCACATCTGAAGCAACAAGCTCATATTGCATTAATCTTGGTGCCTATCCAGATATGGTAAACATCCGTAGTCAATGTCGGAATACAAGTATAAGTCTATAGTGCCATCCATGTCCGTGGTGCCATCTATACACTACGGCACAACTGATGTTCTCACAGAACATGGATGTGCTCTTTTGGGAACATCGATGTTCTCATGAGCACATTGATGTTCTCATTTGAGAAGGTATAGTTTTCCACATGAATAAAATGGTTTAATAGCTAAACTATAATATTGCAGGCAACAGAGAGACTTTTATTATCTGTAAGATTCATAAAATTACTAAACGTATGATAAATTGCACGAGAAAATGGCAATTTAAAATTACCTAATAACTACTTACTAAAGTAAAAAATATATTTCAATAAGATATTCGAGTAGTTTAGTGGAAAGAACGTCAGATCCACAACCGATAGGTTGTGTGTTCGACCCCGTTTGGATCATTCTTTTTTCAAATTTTTGAAAATCGATGTGCTCATGTAAGAATATGGATGTGCTCACATGGGAACATTTCGGATGTTCTCATAAGAACATCGGCCGACTTATAATAGATCCTTAGGAACGCCGATGTTCCCATATGAGAGCATTTTTCACCTTTCGGGAACATCGATGTGCTCATTTGAGAACATCAAATAAATTCTCATATGAGCACATCGATGTTCTCATGAGAACATCAGTTGGGCCGTAGTGATAGCCTATATCTTATATAGTATGAATCTTATAGTACTAGCGTATCTGAAGTTCATATCTTCTCATAGTAGTATAAATCGATATCGTACATCTAATCCAGCGTACATACAGTTTATATCTAAATCTGGTAACTGGATGAACTGTCGGAATGCAGATCATAGTGGATGTATTCCACATCAAGATTTACTTTGTCTTCATCAAGAACTTCTGAGACTCTCCTTGCGAAAGAAATTCTACAGGTATACCCATCAATGTATATACTGTTTAAAAACATACGCCCTTTCTGTCTGGGCAACTCTTGTAATTCTACCAAACTATTGTAATAAAAATTAATAATAGCCTTAATTAGGGGGTTTTTTTTTCAAGACTTACCTTCTAATTTTCAGCTTGGTAAAATCAAAAGAATCGAAAAAGCAGCGTGTACTAAATGCAAAATTTGCTTCGTTTTCTTCTTTTTGGAGCCACTTATCGGGAAAAAGAGTTGACAAATTTTGACCATCGACCTTTATGAATTATCATTTAAAGCTAGGGCTGGTGGGAAACAAAGAAAACAGGCGAGGCCTCCTGGGATGTCGTATTTGTGCTGGCTGAGGGCGGACCAACTCACCCGTTTGCGCTGATGGTTGTTCTGTTGTTGCTGGTTGTGCATTCTTCTGCAACTGTATGTTGACCTGCTCGTAAAACTGGAGAATGTAACTCATTACTGATGGAGCAATGAACGGGTTTTTGGTCACTTCTTCTCTTGAAAGTGGGAGTCGATGTGCACTGTTCCTAACTGGCTGAATAATATCGTTTAAAAATGCTTGTAGATTTGGTGCGCTGTCAAGGACATTTTCTGTAATAAAATCCTCTGGCATATTTGACCTTGTATCGTTCTCTAAGACTTCATCCTCTAGGGCATAACCATATACAATCTTATTGACCAATGGCATTGTAAGTTCCTTATAAATAGAATACATGAGTAAAATAGTTATATAAATTAGTGTCCATATAAATACTTACAGTATACTCCTGCTTCAGTCTGTATATAAAATAGTTTCCAATATACGTTTCATAGTTTTCAACGTAGAAGTTGCTGTAGGCAGTAACTATAGTATCACAAGCAGACGAAACAATTTGGCCATATCCTGCTAGACCCCGGTTTTCAACTGAAAGATAGATTGACATTGTCTAACGCTTGTAAACGGTTATAGGCTGCTTGAATGCCAGGAAGTCTTGGATAAACGTTTTGTAGTTCTTGAATGTTAGTATTCCCACAGATTAATCTACAAACTCTGTACCAGAAGTTCTTTTCAAATATACCATTTGATAGATACTCGATATTGTTGTTTGCATTACTAGATATATAATAGTTAACTAGAAGCTGTGCTTTGTAAACAACCTCTCGTAAAAATGAAGACTATACAATTATTCTCTCTTGATATCCTAATAGTTTGTTTGGATTCCCTTTATCTTGCCTAATGAATAATTTGAGCGTCAGAGATACGGCATACAATTGAAAAGAAGTAGGGAAAGCCATAAGCCGTCTTTCTTTGATAGTGTATTCATGGTTGGGACATAAACGAGAGGCAGCAGTAGTATGACCAGGTTGGCCACAGGACTTGCAAACAGGCCCAGATGATGAAGAAGCCTGTTCTGCTCTTGTTTTTCTGGCATCCGCTTTTTTGCCTTGTTTCTCCTCTGCTGTATCTTTTTTTCCTTTACCTGAATCAACATAGCAGTTAGATGTTATAAATGTAATCAATAAAATTGACAAAGACTATTGTAGTTAAATACTGGTTTATCAGAAATAAATTATTTATAAAAAAGAATATGAAATTAATCAGGTAAAGAATATCGTTTATTACTGTTGTGCCAGAAGGGCTACAACTGTCTATAAAGATTAAGGTATTCTTGATGGGTAGATATGTCTGTGTTGTGCAACAACATGGACAAGCTATGATAAGTGAAGTGCATCTCAGCTATCTAAATACTGAGGTTCACCAGATGTGATAAGCGTTGTACAAGATAAATTGCTACTTTGGCATTCAGAACTTAGTATAAATAGAATAACTCTTGTCTTCATCAATAAATCTTTAGTTTTTGTGTCTGATCTTATTCAAATAAGTCTTTTCTTGTTTTTATAATATCGAACATTTTTTATAAGCTACAAATAATAATCCTTTTATTCTTTGTGCTTAACAATTACATTGGAAATAAGAGGGTTTATATAATACTATTCGAATTGAGGGGTTTGATATAAGGATAAGGTATTAGATGGGTTGATTTGGGTGATAAGACTATAGATTGGATCTATTATTATCCTGAACATGCCATGATACGGATCGTACCTGAATCTTGTTTCATGTCAAAGTTTATGATCTGATGTGATCTGTGCTTGAACTGATTGTTTCTACGCATTTGGATATCCGGTTTATAAATGATACATCAAACATGATAGGCTTAAAACAAGTATTCCTCACATAGAACTGTTTAACGGATGATGGATTCAATCATAGCACATTATTTTACTATTGAATAATGAAGGATTTAAATTGTATCAATATTTGGATACATTTTTATTACAAATACAAAATTATAATACATGACAGATCAATAGGAGATTAACCAGTTGTAACCCTTCGTTGTTCCAACCTCTTAGCCAATCAGATTGCTTGAAAACCCCGCTGACCTAAAAAAAATTTGCGAGGGTTTCCCTCTGTTTTGATGTGAGGCAAAATTTTAAGCTCCGCTATACAGCAGTATAGCAGATGCTATCATCAAATTTCCCTCAGGTGCTAGAGTATGCCTTACTTACACCACCTAGCTTTAAATTCAGACATTGAGACCCTCAATCATCACTAAAGTAAGTAGCGATAACCAAGTGGAGGCAGCCTATCCACCTCCTAGCCTCGGATAAAGACTTGTTGAGCTTCAGGGATAGGCACATTCACACAACGTAAAAAAGGTATGCTTCAAAGAAACATAAAAATAATAAAAGAATGAAGAAAAGAACATACTACTATAAGAGTATAGTGGTATGTAGGCAAAAAAAAAGAGGCACTCACATGAAGCGAGTCAAAGAAAAGCGTAACAAATACAACACCAAAGATGTTCAAAAAAGCTCGTTGCTGTTGCAAGAAAAATGCATACATGAGCAACGCGCATGGTAGTAATAGTCGGATGTAAAGCAAAATGATACAAATACGCACAACTGCAAAAGCAACAGTGGTATTATAAGTTCGCGATACAACATAATGACTAATGTTGCTTCATGTAAAGCTACAGAGAAAACACCACCAACAAAAGAAAAAGAAGAAGAAGAAAGCGCAACAAGGCAAACATCATGAATGCATTATCACGAGAAAGGAAGCAATAATATAAGCGTTCAAAGAAGTTTCATATCATTGCAACCAGAAAAAAGAAGATACTTACCACTTACTATAGCCACATATAGACCAGAAGAGTATAGGCAATCACCGGAGATAGACCATAGAACAAGCATACAACAAATACAGTAGACCGGGAGAGACCATTTTAGCAGCAGCAGCAGCAGCAGCAACACCAGCACCATAGACAAACTAAAGAACAAGCGCCATCAGCAGAGACCAGACAAAGACCAAAGAAGCTATTTACCACTTATCTCCATCACAGAACGACCAGAGGATATACAATCACTGAATATAGACCAGAGAACGAGCATGCACCAAAGACAGTAGACCTGGAGAGACCATATTAGCAACAGCAGCAGCAACACCAGTACCATAGACAAACCGAGAAACGAACGCCACCAGCAGAGACCAGACAAAAGCCAAAGAAGCAATCACTAGACATGATAAACCAAAGAAGCAGGCAGCAGAGAAGACAGAGAAGGAATGGCAGCAGCACTCACTCAAACAAGCAAGAAATTATTAAAACCTAATAAACAAACTGAATTAGTGTTAATTCTACGCCTTCCAATGCTTGTTATCGAATGGTACGTAACATATTCCACTTCAAAGAAGGAGTATCAAGTACTCTTAAGAGTACAAGACAGAGTTATCGAAAGCTAGAGTGTTATTATCAATCAAATGGTCTCCAAATCCACCATGGTTTGATACTAAAACGCGTTTTGCAAAAAGGAGAATAAACGAGGGGTATGAAAGAATGAGAGAGCGCCCTATCCGACGTCACGGCCAGTCGATTTAGTCTCAGTTTTGTACCGTAGCAGCAGTAATTGCGGCAATTTAATTTGAAATTGTGCAGTGGTATTTTCATGTTCAAACTTGACTTGATCTCACATCCTTTAAACGTTTTTGCTAAATTTGACTATGAAAACTGTCGTCGTTACACCCAACTTTCTAATACATCTCTAGAGGACTAAAGAAGCCGCATTGAATGGTGCTAATTACTTTTAGCTTTCAGACCAAAAATAATGAGCAATTTTTAAAAATATGAAAATTGATTTTCTGTGAATATATTAAAATTTAGCATATGAAAGCCTCATAGAAAGAGTATCCAATGTTGCATTTCATCTTTACGGTCAATTTGATTTAATATATATCATAGTTGCAGTGAAATCAGGTTTAAATAGATTTCACAAAAAAAAAAATAAAGCAAAGGTAAAATACAATAGAAATCAACTGTATTTTATTTTGTGTATAAAATGAACTGAAGATCCTGGAATTGAGTAAAAAAAAAAAGAAGAGTATTTATACATTTGCATCTGGCTTGTAGGATTAGTGATGATAGAGAGCAATAGGTGCTGCTATTGCGATATCTGGCAAATGTTGTTGATGTTTTATTTAAAGTGGTAATCAATGCAGGAGCACTGGCCATAAGGGTCGATTTGAGTAACCTTGATGGGCTTGGGTGAGCTATCGTCATAGCATGATTTAATGTAACCTTGATGGTTTAAAGTGCGATGTTTGTTATTGAAGCATGGAATCCTTTATCTGGGATATTGTGCAACTATGGCAGCAGGGCATAGTTGTCATATTTGAATATGCTTGTTATTGATTTAATTCTATTTGGATAAAGATACCATCACTTATTACGACCATCATGGGTGTGATTGAATACACTGTGATCAGGAGTGATTCATTCACACGATGTGCGATATAAGCGTGTATCTTTACTTTAGTATTTTTAAATGGGTTTTTGATGTACATTTGAGCGCTTTCATTAATAGATCCAAATAGCATGAATTTGAATGAGTGCTATTTGATGAACTTTGGTTTTCAATTAAGTTGCGTTTGGGTGGCTATTTCATTACAATAGTAAAAGTCTTCATTTTTGGGGTGAAAAACGCGATCGTTTGTTTTTCAAGAACTTTTCCTTGCTAGTAATCATGAAAAAACGAGGATTTTCATGGATTTGCAATTACCCAAAAAAATCTGTGATAAAGTATCAGTAAGTAAAGCGCAATCAAGAGGAGTCGTTTGGTGCTATTCCAAGCGCTCAAAACGCTTTGCGGCAAGAGTTATTCGCGCTTGAAATTGGCTAGATATGAACGGATTTTGACCTAAAAATAAGGTGTAGTAGGTTGTGTTTCCAGAAGCATACTTAAATTACAGTTTTTTTCGACGATCCTGGTATTTTGCAGTGTATGAAACTCAATTCCTAAGTGATAATGTGGAATACATCCACTATGATCTGCATTCCAACAGTTCATCCAGTTACCAGATTTAGATATAAACTGTATGTATACTGGATTAGATGTACGATATCGATTTATACTATAAGATATGAACTTCAGATACGCTAGTACTATAAGATTCATACTATATAAGATATAGACTATAGATGGCACCACGGACATCATGGATGACGCTATAGACTTATACTTGTATTCCGACATTGACTACGGATGTTTACCATATCTGGATAGGCACCAAGATTAATGCAATATGAGCTTGTTGCTTCAGATGTGCACTTTATGATCCACGCTATAAGACACATGCTTATATCCATGATACTAGCTACAGATACTTTATGTACTACAGACTTGTACTTACTATATATGAGACATGCTATAGACATGCATATGATATGCTATAGACATGCCATATATCCAGATACATGCTAAAGATGTATGCTCAGCGATATACACTCAGATATGTACTATTGTTGATATAGACTAAGTAGACTGTACCTATCGGATACATACTACTAGATCGATATTAATTATCCTTATAGAAAGGATAGATCAGGATACTTCGGATGAGAGTCTAATTATTCATCCAGACAGAGCTAAATCACGATTAGCTTGCTGGAGTTGTCTTTTAGCATGATTAGACATTAGTTGATCTGAGTTGACTTATTTGTCAATCTAATTAATAGAACTTTTATCCATTGTTGTAGTATATAAGAAGGATCATCTACCTGGCCAGTAGAGATACTTCAGTTTACCTGACACTTGTCAGTTTGATAATAAAACATACCTTTATCAAGTTGACTTTACTTTTTTTTTTTTCATTCTTTATTTCCGTGAACTTTAGTCTATAAAGCCTCAAATTCCACAGATAGAAGCGTTTATTCTAACTCTAGAGCGCAAATCTTTCGTTTTGAAATGCACGGTTACAGTCATTTGAAGCCTTGGGCGTCAATGATATTATGCAAACTTGAATATAACAACTTGCTCGGATTGAAGGAGATCCTCGTCAGGTTAGCAGCACATTCTCGTTAACTGGTTCAAGGCTTATACAATTATCCCGCATTCAAGATCAAGGTCCTATTGCTGCGGCACTGTCAAATAACTATAAATACCTTTGATATCTGCACTAGTTTTGATCCTCATTCAATCTTGGAATAACAATACATGTTCAGTTCAAACTGTATTTCCTTTGTTATTTTAAACAGGTCTAAGCAGTTGAAATGTCTTTTTCTGTTTTATGATTTGATTATTTTATTATCACTACTAGATTTGTTAGCGCTTCGTTATTCCACGATTAAATTGATTAAAAGGTCAACCAATACAAAACAAAAACAGTGTTTGAACGCTATTTTTTAATCAACTGTCAACTCAAACCGACTTCTTTATTAATTGAATTTTGCTCACCTTTGTTTGCTCTATGAACCGAATCTTTATTTGGTCGTCTACGATGCTTCCTTTGGTTTTTTGACCCTAAATTGGAGTATTTTACAATGGCAAAAATACGTTATTTCTGTATTAACTCCACGTTAAACATTTTTGTGGTGCTCAGGTCTATAAAATATATTTAGGGCGTGGTATGACTAATAGTAGTGGTAGCGCATAGAAAGCCCTTTATATGCGCAACTGTAGCAAAATTTAGTCTCGAACGAACGTTTTTCGACAGTTCGGCGGAAGAAGGCTTATTGGGTGCTTTAGATCCACTAGAACTGATGCTACAACTTTGAGTAAAGTCTCAAGCGATAGGCAATTCTTGGGCCCACGCAATGAATATTATTACAGGTAAGTTGATACAGATTCAATACATGCTCTCCCTTGGAATATTCTCAAAATATTTGAAAAGCAGAGCTTGCTTGAATACCGCTTGTACCATACTTATGAAAAGTGATAGCAATCAATGCGCATTCTAATTCTTCTGTGTAAACTTACTTCTATGGACCGGGAACAATGGTTCTATTGAAAAGAATAATACATTTGAGCGAAACAAAAGTTGAATATTAGTGTATGAAGACCTATTCATCATACCATACTCCAGATGTTTCTCACAACTTAGAGCAAGTAGCTCGCTTTCATAGCCATTTCAGATGTGATATCAGATAAATATCGTATATTATTTCGACAGTAACATTTCAAGTAAATCTTTATAATTCTGAAGATTTAACTTATAGGGTTGGATCTGCATCCTCTGTCGCCATAGCAACCATTAGGTAGCTGCTATCAAACCATCCAATCTAATATGTATATAGGTATCATTGTGCAAACGTACACAATAATGTAGAATTACTCTCAATGCTTACATATAAACTACCATCATGTCTACCATGGCCAATTAGTTAAGATTGTATACTGGTGGTAAATATATTTTTGTAGAGTATATGGATAGATAAATATGGAGATTAAAAGCAGCATGATCGCTCCTTCTTCCTTGTTCTGGTTCGTTGAGTCATTCTCCTTAAGCTTGAATCACCAAACTGCACTCCACTTCCGCTTCTTTCTGGATCAATTTGCCCTGTCTCAATTTTGCTCAAAATCGACCTCGCGCACTTGAAAAACATCTCTTCCACACCATCTCCAGATAATGCACTAGCTTCCAAAAACATCATTTCTATTTGTTTAATTGTGCTAATTAGATGCATATATTTGTAATGAAATCATAATTATGACATTACCATGTTCCTGAGCAAATCGACTGGCCTCCAGATACGACACTTCCCTTTCGTCTTTATCGTTTTTGTTTCCAACCAGTATAATAACAAGCTCTGGATTTGCTAATGCTCGAACATCCGTCAACCATGATCGCACGCCTAAATATGTATCTCGACTATAATAATATCTCATTAAACGCCTATACATCACATGCTTGTACCAATTCGCTACGTACTTGCAAATATCATACACCACAAGCGCTCCAGCCGCACCTCGAAAGTAGCTCTTCGTTAACGATCTAAATCGTTCCTAATTGTTGCCGAGAAATGAGTTGATTTGGATCTCAAATGTCTTCCATCATGAGCATATTACTTGTCCGGCTGTATCCCAGATTTGGAGCTTTATGCTTTTATCTGCAATGTGTATAATGCGAGTGCCAAATTCCATTCCAATTGTGTTGACTGAATCCTTTTTAACTATTATTTGCCATGAACAACCTCTGTAAATCGTGGTAAATGTGATTTCAACGTACATTGGTTTTCTAAGAAATGATGTAACAAGCAAGACCTGGCTATATGTGAATAAAGCATATATATGAAGAATGTAAATCCTACTTACTTTCCAGCACCAGAATCACCAACTAGAAGCAATTTCAGTAAAAAGTCTGTTTTATTTCATGTGATTCAAATAGAAAAGGGCGTTAGAAAACGATATCTTGTCCAGGAGTGTATAATAAATACCGTAAGCATCTGCTAGCATAATGATTTGATATTGTTTGGTATATGGTGATTGGATGCAGAAGGTATATAGCAGTGTAGAAAGTGAATATAAGAAAGAAAAAAAAAGCAATAGCGAGTGTAAGCATCCACAAAGTTACTGAAGAAGGGGGAGATTAATCAATTTTGGGATATTGAGAAAGAACTGTGTTTCAATTCCACTGTCCATCATGATACGGCCATTTACTGCTACATCAGGTTGTGCAATCCTAAAACTGCAGTGATTTTAACATGATCTGTCATGTAGGAGCATGCCTGATCTGACAATCGATTGCCTAATACAAAAATGCTCACGGAAAAATAAAGCAATATGCAACATGCTTGGTGATCCAGAATTTGATTCAACTTCAAAACCTTTATTCGTTTTTTTTTTTTTTTTTTTTTTTGTTCGTTGTATGTACCATGGAACTCTTGATATTTACGAAAGAATGAGAGAGCAAGCATCTTTTTTTTTTGTTAAACTGTGGTTTGTATTTATAATATCTAACTTTTTTTTTTCCTTTTTATAATAAAACATTGTAGCAAAAGAAATCTATTCCAATAAGACAGTGGCACCGAGAGCTTCAAGAGCCTTCTTTAGCTTCTCAGCCTCTTCCTTGGGTACGTTCTCCTTGAGAACCTTGGGTACGCTTTCAACAAACTTCTTGGCTTCAACCAAGTTCAAACCAGCCAAGTTCTTTACTTCACGGATAACCTTTGCTTTTGAGGCGGCATCAACCTTGTCAATCTTGATGCTGAATTCGGTCTTCTCGGCAGGCTTCTCTTCCTCAACGGCAGCAGCAGCAGGGGCAGCACCACCACTGGGCATGGCAACGGGCATTGCGATATCTTGAATGTTCAAACGAGTCTACAAGGTGACACATCAAGATTAACATCCAACTCTTTTTCACTCTACGTCCAAACTCCAGGTATATCCACTGAAAATAATCTCTCTCGCTTTTCTAAATTTCCCTCACTAGCTCCTTGTGATTAAATAAAACATTTACCTTTAATTGTGATACAAGTTCAGAGGTTTGCAATAATGTTAAGCCTTCGATTTGATCAACAATAGCAGTGATTTTAGGGTCGGCAGCGGCAGCTGAACCAGGGGTAGGGAGGGGTTCAGCACTATACCAACGTCTGGCACAGACAGGGACAGCGCTTGACATGCTAATTGAAGGACGATCAGTAGATGCTCTATTGTATAACGATGTTGCTGTTTGGATTGCTTACCGAGCTGATTGTCTGGCAGCGACAGAGGTTGAGGTCATTAACTTGGAAGAGAAACGAAGCTATTAAAAATTGGAAATGTTAGATTCATGGTAACACATTTGACACATTGCAAAAAAAAATCATGACATTTGGGAGCGCAAGCAAATGACGTTCAAGTGCTTTTGGATGCTCCAGCTTTTCATTCAATTTGTGTATATTTACCATATTGAACAAATTCTTGTATTAAAGGGAGGGGGGTAAGAAAAGCAAAGGATGTATAAAATATATTCTCTAAAAAGACGGGGATAGCCCCGATTCAAGGGTTGGAAATACAAATTGACCAGCATTTCGCGCCGTCAAGAAGCAAAAGAGTCACGAAAACGATGCTATTGTGACGCAGGGGATTGGCTGCTTGTCTCCAGGACCTGTCAGTTGTGAAGCTAGCTACAGGTCAATCTGGTATGCTGAAGCAAGAAACATGTAGTTTATATTTGAAGAAAGAATGCGAAGAAAATAGTTTATTATCGAAGAAGTGTGTACATGATCAGCATTGCTTTTTTAGCAAATTTTAATCCGCATCAGATGGCATTGGTTGTTGACAGCATCGTTCGATAGGTTTGCCGTGATCCCATCTCTAGAGAGCACCTTGAGAGCAGCATAATCTCAGCTTGAGCTGTGTATTTTGCAAGCACTCCATATCGTAATAATGGCACATTGCTGATGCATACAATATCGTTTATAGATTAAACAACATGTCTTTTGCTAATGGAAACGTGGTTATAATATGTGCATCTTGGAAAGCAAAATGCAGTACTAACTGCCATGCTGAGCTATATACGATCATTACCATCAACGAGCGCCTCTACACTTTGTATGATTTCCCACCTCTGCCTCGCTTCAATTAAATCCAAGCTATACGGCGGCGGCTCATACTGTAAACTTCGTTATATTTCCTACTGATGTAGGCTTCTTAACTTGTCATTATCCCGTAAAGCCCCTTCGTAGCTGTAGATCAGTCATTTCTGTAGTGATCTACGTCTTTATCGATGTAAACAATCCATATACAGGCAGTCAACATACTTGTATTGCCTCTTGCTACTCAAAAGTATGCAAAAGCAGCGAAATCCAGATGCATTTGAGCAGCGATTCCTTGCGTTAGAAGTCGTTTCAGACCGCCAGAGTAACACCGAACGTTTGTTTTCACCTAGCTGCAACTGTCTGACACGTTTGTTCAACTTTTTTGGGATCGTCGAAAATCGACCAAAAACCATGAGGTACCCCCTCATGGTTTCCATCGAAAATCAAACGATCACGTTTTTGACTTCAAAAATGAAGACTTTTACTATAGCATCTATTAAATCAAAATGATGCTATGGATCCAATGCAACCACTGAAACTTCCTTTGTGCGACCTCCATAGGCAAAACCTCAACATTTTGGCCAAAAACCTTATTTCGTATTTTCTCAAATTGCTCATTAAGTTCAGTCAAAACATTTATTTTACTTGTCGCCATTGGAAGCGCCTTGAAAAGCACTCCAAGAATGTATTTGGAAGTACGGGCTAATCATTACAGTTTATATAGTCAAATCTTGAAGAATACACCGATTAAATCGATTTTGTGCAAAATTTTTCCAATCAAGAGCAGGAAAATAATGGTTGGAGATTCAATAAGCTTTGGTTGTAGTGGTAGTGCTGATGGTTGTCTGAAAATGCCCCCATCATGAAAGCATTATTAAAAACACGCAACCTGAGAAGCACTGTAGCTTAGCTTGACTATAGCTCTTGGTAGTTGGGCGTTACTGTCTTGTGTGGCGTCTTTTTGATTGTGTTTAAATACTATTACAGATATCCTTTATCTTTACTAGGCGTCCGCTTATCCAACTGTGATATAAATGGCGATTTGATTCGTGAACGAATGATTTTATTGCATTTTAAATGTAAAGATTGTGAGTGATTATGGAAGAGAAAAATGTATGCATATAGTTATCTTTTTCAATGTAAATGTAATGTATTATATAGAAACAAAAAGAGGTTGGGGACTAGCCACCAGGGCTTTCTTTTTTTTTTTTTATTGTTGCTTATCAGTTTTTGCCATCTTACCGAGAAGCTGAATAATCTCAGTAGGTGTCTCGACTTGCCAATTTGCCATACTCTTCTTCATGGTGGGCCCAACAGTTATTGTGTAGAGATTCGATTTGGTATCACTCCATGACTTTGCAGAAGCTCCTTCAGTAGCGAGTTTGTCTTGATATTGGGCGAAAAAGGTGGCAGACAGAGTGCGGAACATGTCTTCATCGGTCTTGTCATCACCAGCACACACAATAAAGTCAGATTCAGGGGATTGAGCCAAGATCTTCTTTACAATTTCACCCTTATTGATCATCATGGGACGAACCTCCAAATTCTTCTTACCGACCAAAATCTCAACCGGCATCTTGGAAACAACAGAGCTCTCCAAATGGTTTTGACATTCCTTGGCTTGGAACAAACCATATTCTTCATCAGCCATACGATAGTGCCAGGTAATGGATGACTTTTTGTGCTCGACAAAGCTACCTTCGGTACGCTCGGTATAATAATCAAAGATTTCTGTGACATCCTTCTTCCAGCTCATATCAATATTCTCCAACACGTTTGTCCAGATATCGGATCCAGCAGCCTTGAGGAAACAACCATGTTCGGCACTCAAACCGAGGTTCTTGATACCACCGAGCCAGTCTTCAAGACAAGCTTGATCACGGCCAGAGACGACCCACACTTCATTGCGAGGATCATTGCACAGATCTTGAATGTACTCCAACATTTCAGGGAAGGGTTTGGCATCCGTAGGAACAGAAACAATAGGAGTCAGGGTACCGTCATAATCAAAGAACATGAGACGCTTGTTGGCTTTCTTGTAGTTGTCCATGAATTGCTCAGTGTTCAAAGCAGGAGTGGATTGAGATTGGAGAGAAAAGTTCTTCGTACTTTCAACCAATTGCTTCACGAAAGACTTGGCCCAGAAGGCAGCAGAGTGCTCCTTGACATAGTTGAAGAGTTGGGTGTGACGAGTCAACTTGTCTTCAGGACCCATCAGCAAGGCCTCGTTCAAAGCTTTAGCAACACCGGCATAGTCGAAAGGATTGACAATCAGAGCAGCGCTCAAGGAGCCAGCAGTACCAGTGAATTCAGACAAGATGAGAGGGCCGTGAGTCTCTTGTTGACAGATAATGTATTCCAAAGAGGTGGTGTTCATACCATCTCTCAAGCTGGTGATTAAACCAACATCTGCAACGGACAACAGGGCGTAGTATTCATCGCGATCTACATCTTGGTAGTAATGATGACAGGGAGAGAACTCGAGACTGCCGAACTTTGAGTTAATATGGCTCACCATTTCAGACACCTTGGCCTCCAGCTTGGAGTTATCGCCATAAGTAGGTGTAGTCACTTGAATCAAGACAACTTCCTTACGCCATTCAGGGTAATCAGTCAAGAACTTTTCGAATGCGTGCAACTTTTGAAGAACCCCCTTTGTAGAATCCAACTTGTCACGACCAATGATAATCTTCTTACCCACATACATGTCGCGAATAGCCTTCATCTTGGGAGCAACAGCAGGCTCCTTGCGGAATTGATCAACACGGTTAGCATCAATACCAATGGGGAAAGTTCCAACGGAGACGATATGGCCATTGACATTTACACCTGTCTGAGTTGATTCGCAACCGAGCACACGAGTACAAGCACCGATGAAATGTCTAGCATATGAGTAGGTCTATGGAATTGAAAAGAAGATTTTGCCGTTTCGTTAGTATTATGTCATTTCCCAAGATTTTTTTTTCTTTCCATCTATTTCTAATTTACCTGGAATCCAACTAAATTGGCTCCCAAAAAGCCTTCAAGGACCTCTTTACGGGCTAATTTGAGAAATAGACGTGTCAGTTTATCGACTAAAACATTTCGGAGCATGTATCCACACTTACTGGTCAAACAACGGAAGATCTCAGAACTAGGGAAAGTAGCGTGGAGGAAGAGGCCAATTGGGGCATCAGGAATCTTTTCTCTCAACATTTCGGGAACCAACAGCAAATGGTAATCGTTGATAAAAACTGAGAGCGCGTATAAGTAGCCCATAACCTCGACTAAAGACTTTGTAGCAATACTTACTGACATCGCCAGGTTGGTAGTTGGCGGCAATAGTGTCGGCAAATTGACGATTCACCGCAACGTAATCCTCCCAATTGTGCTTTTCAGATCTGCCGTCGGAATCGTTGGTCCATACGAGATAATGGAACAAAGGCCAAAGAACTAGGGATTTGCATGTTAATCAAACCACGCTATTGAAGCCCATCTCTTCCAATGCATTTACCTTCTTTACAGTAACCTTCATAGTGACCACGGGATTTGCTATCCAAAAAGATAGGAATAATGTTACCTGTCTTCTTCAAGAGATCTTGGATCTTGGTTCTATCGTCATCTGTCAAATCTTCTGCAGGGAGAGTAACTTTATTTGATTCATCCTTGATAGGGCCAGTCCATCCGATATGCAATGTTTGGTACTCTTCGTTCAAGCTTTGGAGACCTGCGTTAAGAGCACCATGGCCTCTGTTTTGCACAATGGTCCATTCAGCAGCGCGAAACTTGGCACGCAAAGTACGACTACGAACATGATGACGAGCCAACTTGGAGACAGGAGCAGCGGCAATCTCTGGATCCTCTTCTTTCTTTTCCTTTTCGAGACCCCAAATAGAGGCCTTACGTCCAGGAGGCACGGCAGGAGCGGCATCATCACCATTATCAGGAGTGGGAGCAGGAACATCGCTTTCGATGGTTGAAACGCCATTGGATGATCTTGAGATGTGGAACGGAATCTGATGGGTGACATTGATGATACGGCCCGAGATTTCAGGCATTCTACCAGCCAAAGGCAAATAATCAGCGACTTTCTCTGCTGTTAATGGTGACATTGTTGTTCTGATGGAATAATAGTTGCTATAGAAACAAATTGGAGAGAGAAAAAGAAGAAAAAAGAAACAAGTTGGGGGGGATTGATATAAATAATTTCAGCGGGAATACAATCGTTTAGATGTGGATTTGAAGGCATCGCATGAACTCACTCTGTTGTAATTCTCGGAAAATTCTATTTACACTAGAAGACCCGCCAAGAGTGCAGCTGCAAGGCATGTCAAAATTCAACTCTTGAGAGATGGACGCTTATGCTATCTGTTTGTGGAGGCAGTGGACACTTCTTTCCATTTGCAAAGCCTGATGTTAATTATGTCATCATTGTCATGTACCAAAATACATGTTTACAACTACTGGATGAGCATGTGCCTAGATACACATCTTGTACAACGGAATGGCTATCTCGAACAGATCAAAAGGAAAGAGAGAACTGAAAAAGTGCCTGGAGATGGCAACCTGTTGTAGATGCTGTATATTAATCGATTGGAATTATGTCACCAAGGTTACACGTTATTCATTTAAAAATCTGCAATGAAGAAACTACATTCTACTTTTCAATTGCGTATATTTATGATTATCTTGAGTTTGGGATATGTCACATCTCTGTGTATCGTAGTAGGATGGTTGTCTATTAGAACCCTTATTTTTTTTTCTTGTACATGATAATCTTCTAGAATGTAGATTACAACATCATGATATCACTTGATATCAATGTACTAATTTTGGTCTTCGGTGATCAGATCCTATTTGACTCCCAGTTGAGGTTTTACAAGGTAGCAGCTACCATGAATACGCATTACAACATGTACGAAGCAAAAGCAGTGCGAGGCTAAAAAAAAACAAACACCTCAAGCACCAATTTAGAGACCTGTCTATGCAATGTTCAGGTTGCGTGTCTTAAAGGCAATGTCGAGTAGAATGAGGATAACTAAAACATTGGGATGTTGTATTACAGAGTCTCTTGCTGATTGTGAACTGTTCATCACCCGCTTGCATGATTTGAATTGTAAGCCTTGCAACTATACTTTTAATACAGGCTGTATATAAAGATGCATTCGCAGCATACAGCTTGAAGCAAACATACCAGTGCTGTGTATACAGTATCTTGAAGTAGCTGTTGCATGAAGATTGCTTGCAGATGGCAATCTTGCAACCCCAAAATTGAAAGCGTTTTTGTTTTCCATGCTACTCAACAATATCTGAGAAATCTACAAAAGGGTATCAAACAAGCAGAAGCAATTAAGATTATGATGGTGTCATTGTCAGTGCATATAGTAACTAAATTCGCTAATATAATACCTGGGTGAGGATCAAGGATGAAACTCCAATCTTACCAAATATGCACAATTGCCCATCTCATACACTCACGAAACCAGAATACCGGTAAGCAACGCAAACGAAGCAGTTTCTCTACCGCAGTTGATGCCGCTATCTAAAATTGCATATGGTTTTGAGTGTCATCAAACTTGATGGTAATATCTTCTGGCTCTCGTACCCAACAGACGTTCAATGAATACAAAAGCAGAAAAGGGGTTATATTTTATTACAAAAAGAAAAGAGATATCTAATAGTAAGTGCTGGTAACATCCTCATTGCCAGTGATATCACCATATTCAAACATACCACGTCTACGCTTAATAGCTTCCTCTTGAGCAGCTTCAAGAGCTTTGACAATAGTCTCATTGCCACGAGCATAACGGACCTTAGGAGTAACAAATGCTTGACCATCTTGCACCATATCTAAATTGACACTTGCTTCGGCACTGGTAGATTTGGCAAAATCGTAGAGTGTCAGACACATGACGCTACTTTCGCGAGCATCCACATTAGCCACCAATTGCTTGTTTCCAGTAAGATCTCTGAATCTTTCAATAGCATCAATACCGTAATCACTGTCTCTTTCAGGAGATTGCACAAAGGAGAGTGTAGCTTCAAAAGCTTGAGCCTTGAGCTGCTTGAAGTTTTCAGGTAATGCTCGGACACGAGATAATGGCAGAGTCTCTGCGTTACCGTAATCTATGTACAAGACCTCGACGCCTTCATGAGAAATACGACGAACTCTGCCTCTGTACCAGCAATTATCTTCAGTAAACTTGGCGCTGACATTTTCGCCTACGCGAGGCTTGAAGGCAGGATCAGCAGGACGACCGTTTTGATATTGGCCTAATTCAGACATCAGCCTTTCCAGCTTGGGGATATCATCAGTGACCTTTTGGACGTAGAAATGAGAGCCAGTGATGATTTCAGACACTACAACATCGATGTATTCGCGGTTAGGGCCAGCATTACCAGATGCATGTTCCTCCACAGCTTCCTCCTTGTAATTAGACCAGATGCCCTTCTTATCAGTCTTGGCCTCACGCTCAGCACCGTACAGTTGATTGACATAATGCGACTCATCAGCAGAGTATTCGTGAATAGTGGCAAGACCTTGAGACAAGAGAGACACAGCCAGATTCTCACCATTGACAAACATGGAGCCAACAAAGCTGCCTACCTTGTCCACATTCTCTACTTCAATTTCAACATCGTGTTGAAGACACTTTTGAGAAACAAAGTCCAATGACTCTTGGCCATAAGGTTCAGACTTGTCATTGGCAGTGCGACCTACACGAGGAGCACGGACACCAGACAAGACAAAGGTAAGTCTGCAATTCTCCTTGGGGACCCATACAAACATGCGAGATCCATTAGCGACGAAGTCAACGACAGCATGGATCTTACCACCACGCTTCAAGAAGGTCAAGAATTGACGAGACTTGGCAGCACTCTCTGAAGCATCCGTAATTCTAACAACAGGAGGCTCCTTGGGACTATGAATACCCTTCTGCTCCTCTTCAGCCTTCTTCTCAGCAATCAAGAGAGCATCGTAACAATGAGAGCGGTTGTCGTCATCCTTGCGATGGCGGATAACAGAGGCAAGGCCACGCACAATCAGCTGTTCAGCAATGTTGTGGTTATTGGCAATCACAGTAGCGCAATCTCTGGCCTCGAAGCCGTCTTGAGCAGGCTTGTGGTAATCAATCGTGATGTGTGCACTTTTACCAATCAGCTTCTTTCTCAAAAACTCTCGAGCCTCGAATTGATAACCCACTTCCTTGACATCTCTTGATTTAGCACTAGGGGCAGTAGAACCAGCACCACGAGGCGCTTGCTTCACGCTGGACAATTGGAGCTTTCTTTCAGGGCCGCCGTTCTTGGGCTTCACAAGGATCATATCACCAGTCAACACACGGACCACAGTGGCATCAAACTCGGTAGCATTGGTATCCACCTTCTTGGCAACGAAATCGCGCCAGAGACGGAGCTTTTTCTCCTTGGCTGCCTTCTCGGCATTTCTCAAGGGAGCAGGACCACAAGTAGCTAATGTGATACTCCAATCGACACATTTAGCCAAGCCTTGAGAGAGCAATAGTTCGGCAATGTTACCTGCAGGATGTTGAATAGAGCCCACAAAGTTCTGGCCACCAGATTGCGACAAACCCTCTAAAATGACCTTGACGCCACGTTGCAAGAGACGAGACTCGACAAAATACTTGCATTCCTCTCCGAATGGCTCTGAGACTGAGGTGTCATCGGCAGGAGCATTGTCCCTCTTACAGCTAGGTGCCTTGATACCTGACAAATGCAAGGTGACAATTTGCTGTGTTTGATCAGGCAAGATCAACAAGATACGGAAGGTGGCTCCATCACGCACTTGCTCGATAACAGCTATGGAATTGCGCACATTGAATTAGTGTGGTGCAATAGCAATAAAAAGCTTAAATTACGTTACCATCCAAGGGCTTTCCCTTATACTTGTTCAAAAACGCATGAGCATCACGGTCAAAGGTGAATGAGACTTCGCGAGTACCCTATTTTCACTGGGTAAGCAATCTCTCCTCTCAATTCTCATTAGGAGAATAGCTCTTACCTTCTCGCTATCGCTCCACATACCCACTTTGGCATCTTGGGCTTCTCTTTGCAGCTGCTCTAACTTCTCGAGAGCTTCTTCTTGATCCTCACGAGTAGTCTTTCCGCCCTCACGTACTTTTAACCAACCAGCCTTTACACCCAACTCGGCAACATTGTCGCCATTAGCCAAGAAGATGCTGCCATATTCACGCTGTGTGGTAGGGATGGTATAATCTGATACAAAAGACACTTCTTTTCCAACAAGCAACTTTCTAAGGAACTCACGAGCACCATAACCAAAAGGCTGCACACATATACAACAGTGTATAAGCACTCGCATCCACATGTCACTCTCTTATATTCACACTTTACCTCATCAGAGCGTGTTGTGTTTCCAAGTCTTGGTGCTTGAACATTGGACAAGGCCAAAAGTCTTTCAGCAGGAGGACCATTGGGTCTGGGCTTGCCTCTCAAGATGACAGTATCACCCGACAAGACATTCTTTACGACAGCTTTGTTGACCATGATGTTGTGTGTGTATATAGTTTTGTTTCTATATGGAAAGAAAAGAGAGAGAAAATGAGGGCGCGAGATTCATCAGGCTAATTTAAATGTCGCAAAAGTATACGCTGCGACGTTGCGACATTTGAAGCGGTGCTTCTAATAAATCCCTTTTTCATGATTTTCCATATATTGCTTGTGCGTGAGTATTTTATGCATTCACACCATACACCATCCAGCTGAAAAACGGGGCACGAAACAGAATTGGAGAGCATCTTGGCGAGGATGACTATGTTGTCGGTCGTGGTGGCTGTATACAGTCAGTGTTGTTCTGGTGGTTTTGATCTACATGGGCATCTCTCTATATTGAGGATGTGATTTTATGAAAGGCTAACTTTCACGGCAATCGTAATGATCTAGTTACTGTCCCTGAATTTTTTCGAAGCAAAGACTTTGCAAATCATAAAATACTGCCTGGTAGATCATTGGATCCACCATTGGTGCTCCACGTTAGATAAAGAAGTTTTCTGTGCTACACGATAAAAGTTGATTACCAAAATGTTTGGATTTGTGTAAGGTGGCATGTCTACTGATATAAAGACTCTCCATTAATTCGATTACATGCAACATGATTTAACATTCTGATTATAATTGAATTACTTGCACCGCAGTAAAGAAAAAGTATGAATAGCAACAGTGAGACGCTACTTGAGCTGTTGATGCTGGATGTCATTTCCTCACCGCTGAAGAAGCTGTGTACAACTCTAACTTCAAGTCGCAATCGCCGTGTCGATCTGTCATTATACTTCCGCAGAGCCTTGAAGGCGAATGAATGCTGCCTACATTAAGCTTTTTGTAAAGGTATTGATAGCCTGACTGTGAGTTCTCAATCAAATATTAGACCTTATTATACATAGACACATTTGAACGCATTGTCTCTGCATTTCAGATCAATCAACAAAAAGCTGCCTAAACGCCTGTGTCAAATATATAGACTTAGAAAAGTGTTTGCTTGAAGCTGATATACTATGGCAAGTAAAGGCACCAATAAATAGAATGAAATATGAAGTATGCTTCCTGCAACCTTGATAATGAGTAGACACATCACATTCATGCAAACTTGTGCGAGGAGTCACTAGGCAGTAACGCGCTCGACGCATTTTAATATATTTTCTTCCTCTCTTTCTCCCTTTCCTGGTGCGCTATACAATTACAATATGGGGAGCAATGTGATTCTCATTGACGATTCAGACACTGAACTTCCTGATGCTCCATCCCATCGCCAATCAATGCCATCAGAATCATCCACATTCTGGTCAATCACAGCTACGCCATCTCGTACTGCCTCCAGAGAGTGTAATGAGCTGCGCAGTCGAACCCCTATGCCCGTTCCTCAACCACGCTCATCTCCCAGCGCATTCGAACGTAAACGGAAAACTCACGAATTGAACTCACATCCTCTCGCCAGACGCAGTAGTTATGCTTTGCCAAATAACTCAAATCAAAGACACAATGATGATGATGAGCGTATTCCAGTCAGCAGGCAAAGTATTCGTATTATAAAGAAGAAAGTAGATAGCAGAGTATCCAGAAGGCTCAGTCGACGGCGTCAGCGCGCCTCTTCGTACTCACCATCGAGTTCAGATGATGATACGCTACTCAAGAAGCATAGAGAGACAATGCACAAAGCGAGACAGGAAGAAGCTTATCGTAAGAAACACGGCCAGCCCAGATCCAGACTTCGCATCCCTGCCAAAAGCGACCCAGAGAGTGCACATCGTGAATTCTACGTGAAGAGTATTGAGGCCGAAAAGATTGAAAAAGACATCAGGCACGGTTACATTGTGCGTGTGGAGGAGAGACATGCTATACAGCTGGATGATTTGGACCCTGAGTTGCTTACTGGACGACCCTTGACAGAAAAAGAGGCATACTGGGTCAGCAAGAAGCAAGCGCGCCGTGCAGGCCCACGATCCAGTAGTTGGCCTTCGATTGTCCCCACCCATGACCAACACACTGAATATATTAGCTTGACAGACAAGGCACGAAACTTGGTAAATAGAGCAATCACATTGCATTACTGTTGTGGGCTGAACCTTTGTCGTTTAGTTTGATCCCAATGCCCTGGAGTGCTCGGAATGTGGATCGAAGCTGTGGGGAACCAGTATCCTGTTTCCACTGTCCCGTCCAACTGACTTTCGTCCACCCACTCACATCATTGACCAAAATGCGCCTTTGTGCGTTGGCTGCGCTAGATTATTTAGTTGTGTTAATGATCGGCAAGAGAAGCTAGACATGATCAATTGGATAGTAACCGGCAAGACCCTGCATACAAAGATCCCAAAGCACAACGACAGTTTATTGATGGATGTTTGCCGAAAACGTATCGCTATGATGAAAACTCGTGCTCGCATTCACTACAGCAAGCTACCAGACAACTTTGTAACGGCGGAGGAATTGTTTGATGATGTGAAGCATGATGACTACAATTGCTATTTGGTCGGCTCGCCTATGCGCCTTGAACATGGATATTTCAATAGTCTCACATTTGATCACATATTTCCTATCTCCATTGCTATGATGAAAACTAACTGTTGGTCGATTGAAAATTTCCAGCCCATGTCCTTTTGTATGAACCAGGTTAAAGGAAACGAGGCAAACAAGGAGGCGAAGCGATGGCTCATTAACTTTAAAGCGCACTACTTTTCATCCAATTTCAAGGCATAGTTGTTGATATTACTTCATTCCCATCTATTTCATTACTATGATATTGTTTACCATTCATCATGTCCAAGTTTAAAGAATAAATTATTCCCAGTAATATCATAGTTTGTGTGAGAATTGACACAAGCCAACTTATTGCGTTATACAGTATAAAAACAATCTCTCTGATTAGACCTGTTTTCACTGTCCATATAGTCCAGCATCGTTTGGTGAACTGAAGCATTGAATGTTCCTGTCTGTCAGATCTTTTCTGGTTAGTCGCTCAAAAAGAGTAAGCTTCACACTGACAGCTGATCATACCCAAGTACGCTTTTCTAAAACAGACATGTCTATTAGGTTACATTCTCATGCTAGTGTTTAAACAACATCAAAGATACGAATGTTTACTTGGTTATCGTATTTCCCTTGTGATTTTAGCTCAAGTCCTCTATACAAAGCATTCTGTCAATATATTAGCTTAAACTGGCCTTACGCGCGTTTATTCAATACAACGTGGAGTGGTAAGATGTCATTGGAAATGTACATTGATTTTATTACCAAAAAGACAAGAATGATATCATCAAAAATTTAAACTGAATGGGTCCAAGAATCAGGCGCGTACCATGGCGTATGATGCCTTTACAGATCAGCCTATTCTGCAGGATAAGTGGTAGTGGCATCTTCTTTGAACATGTAATCCTCGAAATCCTGAGAGCCCCTACTGCTATTTGTTCGAGCACGTAGTAATTGTGTCATGTAGTAGTATCTCAACAAATCAGGGCTTTGTAAAGGCGCAGTGATTTGTTGCTGTACTTGTGTGATATCAATGCGCTCATCGATGTCCATAATCTTATCTACTTTTTCCGCCATCGATGGACATTGGGTTTCTTGGATATCTTCAATAAAAAGGTTGTGCCTCTCTTGCATTTTTGTTATTTCTCAGATAGTGGTGAAAGAGAAAAGAGAGAGAGAAAGAGCAAAAGGGGATACATGATGAGATATTTATATCTGTGGAATTTCTTATGTAAAATCAGGGAATCGTAACGTGATGCAGGGAAAATTGGTAGTAGGGTCACATCATTTTATTTACCTGAATGTACGACATTTAAATTCGAATGATTTGCCACATTATCTAACAAAAATAGTACGTTTTACTTGGACTAATTGGTAGACATCCAAATGCTTATGGCAAAGTTGGCTACACTAATTAATTTATCGAGAATTAATGAGAAAAAAATAGGAGAGAAAGGATCATTATTCACTCGGCTTCCCTCAGCTATGCAGTATGTGCAATTGATGCTGAACAGACGTATTTCGTTACTAGATGCAGATTATCTACTGCATCTAAAACGTCCAGTGAGCCTTACAACCGCCATCGCCTGACTAAGAAGCTGTAGCATGAGGCTATAGTACAGCGATACAACAATGCCGCTCAATCTAATGTTTTAACCCGAATATCTAGATGTAATAGCATGCGCTAAATCTAGATCAATGAGTAAAAATGTCTTTGTCCCTTTGCATCATAACAAAAACGTGCCTATTGACAAGCAAGTGTATAGAACACAGCCAAATTTGACAGCTTTCAAGCATTGATATCTTGACATATAGACCTTTCTGAGCCACCGGAATGATACCAAACAACTGTACTCGAGTAACAGTAACTTCCTGACACCTTTGCTCAACTTTTTGGGCCAAAAAAATACATGGCCAAAAATCGACCAAAAACCAAGAGGTACCCCTCATGATTTTTTACGAAAATTAAACGATCGCATTTTTCACCTTGAAAACGAAGATTTTTTACTATGGAATATACTAAATCAAAACATTTCTCTCGATCCAAAGCAACCCCTGAAACCATTTTTGTGAGGTCTTCATATGCAAAATTTCAACATTTTGGGCAAAACCCTCATTTCATGTTTGCTTAAATTGCTCAATGGGTTCAGTCAAAATATCTATTTTACTTGGCACCACTGGATGCGCCTTGAAAAGTACTCCAAGGATGTATTAAGAAGTACGGGCTGATCATTACAACTTATATAGTCGAATCTCACAGAGTAGTTTAAAGAAGTCGAAAAAAGACGAAATCCGTCCAATCTTGGTCAGAAAAAATGGTCTGAGATTGAAAAAAATCTGGCACTGTTGGCTGACCAAAATGCCTTTCTAATGATGACAGTGATAAGTGGGATGCTTAATTAGATGGGGATCATGAATCTAGCAGGATCACCACTCATTTTAAAAGCTCCTTTTTGCTTTGTTGGGTGTTTTTATATCTGACAACGCCAGTCAGCTCAGCTCGCCACCAAAATATATGTAATCGTAACTTTCTAACGATGATTGCAGCATTTCAGCATAGCCTGTAGGCAGTATGCGTTTCACTGATTCGTTTAAAACAGACTACTGCCTCTGGCTATAAATCTACTTTGGTATGTGGCGAGGACATCTTTAAAACTTGTATCAGAATATTCATTGGGAATGACGGCTGCAACCATTTTAACAACTGGCAGATTCTGAGAGCGCATATCATCATCTACAATTAGTCCCAGTCTCAAATGAGGGCTGTGTCCAATGTGGGCATCCTCGTTGGCATGATTTCAGGCTTGTCATTCTTCTTCGCTCAGAATCTCATGAGTATGCTTTTAAATGCGAACAAGGTTTTTTAAGCCTTGTTGTTTAGTATTCAATGTTTAAGTTTTTATATGCCTCTGATTGGTCACGACGACGTTTTCATGTAATGTTTATTGCTAATCATTGTACTGGATGTAATGCTTGGAACTCACTCCAGATACCATCTCTTTTTGAGCATTGATATCAGCCATGAATTGACTACTCCTATTTAAGAGGTGGGTCAGCTGTTGCCACTCTTCACATGTATTTGGTTGATCTTACCCACTCAATTTCTTGGTGATGTCGTCCAAATCCAATTCCAAATAATCTACAATGAAATCACCGATATCTGTATTTTCATGATTGCCTCGCAATAGCTTGGATTGATGACCATAGGCATATAAATTGACATCTACTGCAGTGTGTCCCATAGTAGTCCACTATGTAAAAGCTGTCAGCATACAGTTACCAACACTACTAAATGAGGACACTACCCCAATTTCGGCTCTTTTGCTGACAATATCAGTAAGTGCAGTGGCAAAGAAGTCGTAGGTGGTATTCTTCTCTTTCCAAGCCCATAATCGATCAACTTCAGCATCTGTTGGATCATGCACACCTGTGCCATCCTTAATAATGGTCTCTACAAGGAATTCTCTGGTATCTTTGCCCTCTGAGATAGCCTGCATCCATTGCCAAGTCAAAATTTCACTCGAATTCTCCACTTTGGCAAGAGCTTCGGGCTTCCATTCATATTCAGGATACTCCTCAGTAACTTGACGCCCAACTGTCAAGCCACCCGTTTCATGGTCGCTTGTAGCAATTAATACTGTGCCAGGATTGGCTTCGACAAACTTCATGACAGCGTCCACCGTTTGCTGGTACTCCCATACCTCTCCTAATTGAGCTGCAGGGTCATTACTAACGAATGCGTTAGGTAATTTCAAAGGTATTTTGTAGAGAAACTTACACATGACCAGCCATATCGATTCTACTGGCTTCGATCATTAAAAAAAAGCCTTCTTTGGAGCCTTTGGTGGATGTTTTGAGTATGTCGAGTGCTTTTGTAGTCATCTCAGGGAGCGTGGGTTGTACGGAAGGATCGTTATCAATAGCAAAATCCATGTGCTGTCATACTTTATAAGAGTTGCTCATCTTAATACCGCTCCACTGTATCACTTACATGAGGTGCAAACAATCCCATCAATGGCAATCGCGCGTCTTTGGGTTTCAACTGGTCAAATTCTTGTCTACTCTTGATCCAATCCCATCCAAAGTCTCGTTTAGCATCCTGGAGCAAATCGCGGCCATCCAGTCTACAACTCTTTTCAGTAGTGTTACTTAAAAACTCGCACAGACCACCACCAAACATCAAATCCACTGTTCTGCCCAGAGGCGTATATCCAACTTGATGCTCTGCAATCTGATTTTCCCAATCCCGCCATCCGACGTGAGCAGAAAATGCAGCCGGTGTGGCATGTGTAACTCTGGATTTGACAACAAGGCCCGTTTTCATATTGCGATGTATCTTTGCAGATTCCAAAACTGTTCCACATGGAACTTCATCAGGGTTGACTGTGTGTCCATTTGGTTTATTAGATTACCCTTTTAGCATGTATCCTGCTGCAAGGAATGATAGCTTACCTCCAATGGCACCGTTGTATGTCTTAATAGCACATGAAAAGGCAGTTGCTCCTGCTGCACTATCGGTAATTAAGCTAGAGCTACTCTGCGTGCGACTTGTGCCCACCAAAATCTTGTCAAGTGGAAAAACCGTCTTCATGGGCAAGTCCTCCTTCCAACTGTAATACTGTCTTGCAAAAGTTTCAGACGCAGGACCAAATCCATCACTGATCATCATGATGACATTGCGTTTGGGTTCTATACATGTGATTCATGAGGAAAGGTATCTCAAGATAGATGCTATGATCCGAGTGTATATACCCTTCTTATGCTTCTTTGAAGCCAGCAGAATCGAGAATAATGTGATGCCTATCAAACATGAGATGGCGCTTACTGCTAGACGGCGGCTCGTATGACGAGCAGTCTAGCTAGCGTGATGAGCAAATTGAATAGCAATGCGCGATTTACCCATATCTTACTCTGAATGATAACTTTTCGATATCTTGAGGCAGTTCGGACTGAATGAGGGTATAGTCGGTGACCATAGCAATAATGAATATAGGAAAGAAAAGAGTAGCAGTAAATGCTATAAATCCCGAGTGCTCAGCTTTTATCGCTGACATTTTGAAAGTCAACTGTCAAGGCATAAGCATTGTTGTGCCATAGAGTTAGTGTGTGTGTGTGTGTGTGTGTGTGTGTGTGTGTGTGTGTGTGTCAGAGCGTTGAGCGCTAAACGGATATAACACAGATTTCTCGATCGTCCCTTGATTTTGACTATATCATCATCATCATCATCATCTACAAGCCTCCTTAAACAACAGTACAGCGATAGCTAAAAAGCTATTCATCCCCTATTATTTTAAATTATTTATACATGGATTGGAGTAAAGTACAATGTAATCATCTTTTTCATTTTTAATAGCTCCAACAATAATGAATGCATGGGATGCTCATTCTGGCGAAAAGGTACAAGTAACACCTTCTTCACCAGAACCTATCAATGCTTGGGAGAGCAATAAGCAAGAGTTGCCATCTACCGATCAACCACTACATGCTGCTAGTACCAACATAGACATTCCTTCACCTTCGCCTGCTGTACTTGATGCCAGTTCTGATGACCCCACCTCTCGTGAAAACCCTAGCTTGCCACGATTTCTTCTTCGTATCTGGCAATTCTTTGCTGCTATCGGTGCCTTTGGGTTCCAAGTGGGTGCATCGCCTGTAAGTAGCAGATGCTTATATCTTGCACTCCATTCTAACAATGCGGCAGTACTCTGAAGAGCCAATGCCCTTTGGAAAACCAGACTTACTCTATTATGGCTACGTTATTTGTTGGCTGTCGATTGTATGGAGCTCATTCAACGTATTTGTATATTTGACGAGACGATTTGGAAAAGGCAACAAGATCAAGCGCTTTGTGTCTACGCTTTTAGATCTTGTTTTAGCTGCATTATTCGGTGTCTGTGTATTCTACGAAATCGCAACGTATCACTGCAAACCTGGCATGCATAATGGATGGTAAAATGCAGTTGCATGGAGTTTATGTATGGCTTTATATACTCACATCGAGGAACTTAGGTGTAATTTCTACAACACAGGCTTGTTCTTTTTGATGTCGCTGTTCCTGACTTATGTCTTACATGCATTGTGGGATATCTTTGGTGCCATGTCCTGTTTGAGAAAATAGTAATGTATAGTATAATAATAAATTCAACATGACATGTTTATGTCCACTCTTTAGTCAATCATTAGATTAGGGGGTCTCTTTTTCTCTTATTTTATAACCATTTTAAAAGGGGCTGAAATTGATGGGCATTGCATGGTCCATGCTGCTTTGACTCATGACATCCTAGATTCGAGCACTTGAGAGGGATAGCTATACGAGTTTTTTTATTTAGTTTATAATATACATGGCATTACGGTTTACTGCCAAAAAGAAAGAATAAAAGACTTGGATTGTATCTAATAATGAAGATGAAAATATATTTGAATATGAGTCGGTTCGTATGATATGAATCAGATGCCTGCAAGTAGGGACCTATTGTGATGTGATGCTGCTCAGCGACCGTACATCTCTTCGAAATAAGGTGCTAATCTACTGCGATCCACAGTGCCAATATAGTATTGTCCGCCGTTGTTTGTCCAACTAACAGCCTCTGAATAATATTCAAACTCTTCTACCCGTAGAATGGATTCAGGCATATTCAGAGTGCGTTGGTTGATTTTGTGGTGCTTGGGAACAAATGACTTTAAAGAGATGATTTTGGTGCCTTCTTTCAAATCTAAAAAGAGCTGTGCTAGTGCCTGATTTGTTGCTGCGTCAAATGCATAGTTGTTTACTAGTAATACGTCTGAGCGCTTTAGTGTTGAATACAGATCATTGGCTGCAACATCCAGAAAGTCGCCATGTCTAAAATGAATTTTACCGGTTGGTAATCTCCAAGCCCTACGGTTTTCTAAATTAGTATTCTGTTGTTACTGCTATCAAATCAAGCACATCAACTTACTTCATACGTGCGGCATATTCCTTCAACTGTCTTTTAGCAAATTTACAAGGTGTCTCCATGATCTCAATGCCGTAAGCTTCACATCCTGTTTGTGCTGCTACCTGAAGCACGACATTTCCAATACCACAGCCCAAATCCATGAATACACTGCGTGAATTGACCCCTGTTTTAGTGATAAAATCTTTGACTAAAATTGGGTTGATCTCTCCATAGACGTTATTCGAAAAGGCTAACATACAGTCATTTAGCATATACAGACTCCTCATAAATAAACCAAAATCCATCCTTACCCTGATAATTGTTCAATGCGTCTGCTTGGCGTGCAACAGTGCGGCTGTAGACTTGAAATAGGATATGACAAGCTAAATCGTAATTTGGATGACACATGTCCTTGGCATTTTTAGCCAAAACACCATCCGCTTTCAATTGTCGCATGACCTTGTTGAACTCTTTAATCGCTTGTGCAAATCCAGCTCCATTACGTCGATTACGGTATTTTGTCAAGTTACGCATGATTCCATGAGACTGATTTCCAAGCAATTTCTGCTCTTCAGGTGTGAGGTAGCAGTCGTAAATGAACTCTGCTGTGCGCATTAAGTCCGTGATGGGGTTGTATTCGTCCTGATCCTCTTCTTCCTCGTCGTATTTTCCAGCTGCGTTCTTAATCACAGGTTTCAGCAACAAGAAACTATAGATATCAAAAAGTTAGATAAAATGAATGTGGATAGACGGCATCAACAAAAAACGTACTTTTCAGGTTCGATGGATCCCGGGTATTCAAGAATAACACGCAAGTTCTTTTCCTTGTGGGTGGGAGCAGCTCCATTAGGGTTATCTGAATCAGGTTCTGTGAAGTCTATGCAGGGCTTAACATCAGTAACGAAACAACGGTCTACTTGTAGGTGAACACTCACATGGTCTATATTGACTAATTTCGGCTTGAACAACTCTGTCTGAATGTGTGATGGATTTTCCCGGCTTTGATTGAGGCGCTTTTTCTCTTGCTACTTTCTTTTCTCGGGTATTGTCAACGACTGAGCTAGATAGGCGTCTCTTTGTCATTGTGGATTCAGATCTAGGTAATTGTCCTGAGGGTCCGCTTTTGCTTGACGTATTGTTGCTAGTGGATGAGTAACTAGATGTTATCTTTGTGGTGGTGCTTGTGATAGTGGATGATGTGGTTAGTGCTTGGTTCTGTGATGGTTGCCTTTGTGAAGAGGATGCTGCCGCCGCAGCCGCTGCTGCTGCTGCTGCTGCTGCTGCTGCTGCTGCTGCTGCTAGTTTACTAGCCATGACCTTCTTAGGTGGAAGTGCCACTGTCTGCTTGTTCTGGTCCTTCTCAACTAAAAGATGGCTTCTATCATCTTTCTTGGAAGAACTATCAATGGTAGTCATTATGTGGCAAATTAGAAAATATCAAGACAAAAGAAAGAGGAAAACAGGGAGGACGGAAAAAACCGACGTTTAGATAATGGAAGGCCAAGGAAATTCATATTGCCATCCAGTCATCGTTGGCGCTGCTTCTCAAAGAGTGAGACTTTCTTTTAGATTTGCTTTTACCTATTTGGTAGTATCCCACTACTGGAAGGTGGTGCCTGTTGCTAAACCAGAGAGTTCCATACACAAAAGAATGGAATTTATTTATTTTAGATATGTTATTTTATACAGATTTTGTTGCGTTTGGAAGTTACGAGAAAAAAAAGAAATGAAATCAAATGTGGAGACTATAGAGACATCAAGTTATTAAAGCCTTGAGAGCCAGTTTGACGTTGCTGTTGTTGTGCCTGTTGCTGTTGAAATTGCTGCTGTTGTTGTTGTTGTTGCTGCTGTTGCAATTGCATTTGCATTCTCAACTGATGCTGCTGCTGCAACTGCTGTAATACTTGAGGTGTTTGCTGTTGCTGCTGTGGTTGCTGAGGATGTTGTGCTTGTTGTGGATGAGGCTGCTGCTGCTGCTGTTGTTGCAGTTGAGGTTGGCCATTGAGGAACAAGGAAGGGCTTGCACCAGCCAATTGCTGCTGAAGCTGTGCCGGTGTAATGCTATTAGCAATGGCAGTTGCTGAGCTTCCTCGTTTGACCATCTCCAGTTGGATGGACAAAATCTTCTTTTTCAATGAGGACTGATCGTGTTCCAGCTGACGCTTCTCTTTCTCCAGCAATCGCTTTTGCTCGTCCACCACATTCTCGAGTGCATCGTAATGAGATGTCTGTTGCTCATATTGAGCAAGTTTGAAGCGGATTAGTGTATTTGTCAAGTTGCACAGCTCGTTCTCTTCTTTTTCTGATCTAGCTGGCTTCTCTTCTTCAGCTGCGGGCGAGATCTCTGCAGCCTTATCTCCTGGCGCTTTATCATCACCATCGTTCTTTTTGTTTTCTTCCTCTTTTTCCTCTGTTTGAGCGTCTTTCTCTTCTTCCTGTGTCTCAAGGTCCTCCATCTTTTTGTTGTCTTCTTTGCTTTCAACGACCTCTTCTGCCTCCACCTCTATCATGATCTCGCTATCAAACTTCTCCACGTCAATATGACCTGCTGCTGCTGCCACTTTGGGTCCAACAGCTGATGCCAAGAAAGCAACAGCCGCCATGATTGGATTCTCTCTATGCTGTGCGGAATCATACTGTAATAAGCCCAGCTTTTCTATCTCTGTATCGTCGAATGGATCATTTTGTGGCAACTGGAGGTAGTGGAGGATGCATTCGTCGTGTGTTCTTGTTTCAACGTGTTCGGATATCTTCTCCCAGTTGTCTTGATATAATTTGAGACCCTCTCTCAAAAGCGATTCCTCCTTTTCGTCCCAGGCATCCTCATCTATATCATGGCCATTCTCCTTGTCAATCTTCTCCAATACGAAATTTCCGCTCTTTTGTTCAATGGGGTATTTGCCAGCTACAAAACATGAACGGCAGAGGTAGAAATTAGGTTGCGTGGTGCTGCAAAATTGTTCAGTGGAGCATTCAGTCTCACATGATGAGCATTTTTGAGCTCTCACTTCTTGGCCAAAAGTGTAGTGAGTGGCTATAGGTTCTTTCTTTGCTTCCAGAGCCTTGTCCTCCTCTTGAACTTCTGCGTTGAATGGCTTGTCGTTGACTTTGTCAATGACTACTTTGAACTGAGTGTCAAAAGGTGGGCTTAGAGAAGATGTTTTGGCCTCAGGATCAACCTAGCATACGTGTCAGTACCTTGGTCAAGAACGCATTGATTCCAAAATTACCTGGTAATTGATTAGCCCCCATTGTTCCAAAAATGAGTGCACTCGCAGGATAGCACAAACATCGCCTGTCAAGTTGCGTCTGCAGGCTGTAATGGTGAGATACTCCACAGGATTCATACGGTATGTGTTCACCATAAAATCACGATAGTTTTTGTAGACGGTGGGTGTTTTTGATTTGTTGCGATCATTGAAGAATTCTGGCAAGGCTCTGGATTCAATGATATTGATGACAGTGATATCAAACCAAGCAGCGTAGGAGGGAATGATGATTTCATGGGATTGAATGGTCAGGTATCGTTGAGGATCATCTTCAGGTAAAGGGATATCTGACAGATTTACGGGCAAAAGAGGTGCCTGAATGACAGGTTCTTGATTTTCGATCTTGGCAGTTGGCTCAGGACTCGATGGTATTTGAGCTGTTGTGTTTGTATCCTCGATCATGGGTGTCACTCCTTCTGTTTTGACGCCTTGTATTGCTGTTGGCTCACTACTGGGTGCTTTGACCTTTTTGTATGGGTTATTGGTGTCTAACATGGATGCTGCTTCATCGGCGGATCTCTTTCGATGCAAGTGTTTTTCAGAGTAATCATAATCGATAGGCGACATCCATTCGTTATACTTGTAGCTGTCTAGAATCCAAGTTGCTCTTACGTGCCATGGGCTTTGTAAATCAGGCTTAGGAACTTGACCTTGACTAGTCTCCACTGCCCAGGTATTATATGATTCAGGCAGTCCAATGTAATGAATCAATGCTTTCCCATTTTGCTGCTCCTCGACGTAGAACAAACGCTTTTCGTTGTTGTAAACAGGTTCAACATTGTTGTAGACGATATGCGTTGCACTTGGGATTACATCAACAACTTTGCCTGGTAAAAAGAAGAAAAAAAAAGGCATATTAGATGTTTGCATGGAACTACATACTCTTTACCAACAACTTACCACCTAATGCAATGACAATGCGAGACCATTCCTCTATATCCGCTTTGTTGGTCACAGTTTCATCAAAAGCAACAACCGGGGGCATATAAAATCCATCTTGAATCAGTTGCTTGGTGATGACTCTCACTAACTCGAGGTATATATCTCTTTCTTCTGGCGCGTCAAATTGCCAATCACTGATATCCTTATCAGATTGATAGGTATAGGCAGCTTGTAGAATAGTGTAAAGAGGCGATGGTTTTGCTAGTGTTTCGACCTTGAAGAAACGAGTTGGTATGCGAGCAGGTAATGGACGATTCTGATCTTTATTCAGTTGTAAAGCGTCTTGTTGAAATTGTAAAAATCGTGCTGTAAAATAAGCAAGTTCGGGTGCTGTGAATTGCGCATCTACACCTATCGAGCCCAAATCATTTCGTAAGTCTGCCGCTATTGCATCAAAGAACGATATGGTGCTAGGTTGTTCATAAAAATTAAAGTCTATTTTGGGTGGTTGCTCTGTAATTACTGTATTCATTTTTGCTTTTTGATAATTTTTTTATGTACGCGTTTGAGGAGATGCACGAATTCAACACACACTTGGATCTTCTCTATGATTATTCCTTTCTTTTATATTTCGTTGGACAAGTTTTCCAAAGGTGAGTTGTTGACTTGGTAATATGCTGAACAGAAGTTGAGTCCAACAACAAAAAAAAAAGAGTCAGTTCGTTTTAGGATGTAATGAAAAAACTGACTCCTTCCAGCCTTTAAACGTCCACCTAGCTCCATCATGACGTAGAAAATTCAGACACGCAAAAAATTACAGTCACGTGACTAATTTAATTTTTTTGTATGTTTATTATTTATTAATTAAGGAACGTACAGCAGCTTCCGTGGCGCAATTGGCTAGCGCGTCTGACTGTTAATCAGGAGGTTGGTGGTTCAAGCCCACCCGGGAGCGTATTTTTTGCAATTACAAAGATTAACGTTAGACGTTTGTACTATTTAAATTTTGTCAATGATTCCTATATCCTTGATTAAGTTTCAGGTTTCTTTTTTTTTTTTCAGGCAAGTCAAGATTAACATGTCAAAACTTTTGCTTTACTAATGAAGAAGCTAGATTTTATTTCCTTTTTTTTTTATTCGCTTGCAATGATCCACATTACATATGTTTCAATCTGTATGATTGAAACATTAACATAGTAGTATATAAATAGCTTCCCATTTGACAGGTATTGAACATTAGTAAAGACATCTGTCATTACTCTTACTATACTTTTATTACAATAAATCCCCATTTCATCTAATACTACTTGTCCAATAATATTTACATATATTATATAGTAAGTATTGCCCAAGATTAAGGACCTACAAATAGTAACACCACCCTGTCCATCAATAGTACATCTGTCTTCCACCCTACAAGTTCATTGTGCTGCTCATTACATTGCTAAAGAGACAATCATCGAAGCTATGTTTCTCCTTAACTAGATATAAACCACTCGGTGATATTCGCTACATTATAATATCGCAAAGGTATAAAACTGTGTTGCACATTCTAGTCAATTTTGACTAATGAGCTTCATATGCCAACTTATTGATAACGAGCAATTACGAGTAACAGATGGACTTGGACGATCGAAAATCGATTTTCTAAATATTGATGCTAGAGCCTTGAGACTAGCATGTTTCTATACCGGTTTTTTGCCCTTAAACGATGGTGTAATTGGAATTTGCTTAGGTAGCATGGTTGTTGAGAAAATGGTGATTTTAGAAAATAGTTAGTTTTGAATAGATGTTGCTAGTAAAACTTTTTAAATTACTAAGTGAATGTGGGATGTATGTGTAGTGAAAGTTGTAGAAGAGACTTTTTTTGACTAGGACATGTTTGATGTGGGGTTATGGAAGGTGATGCGAATGAGTAATAACGGAAAATGTTCCAAATGACCGATTTTCAAAGGGCCATATCTCTGAATTTTTATTAAGTAAAGGAGAGCTTCAAACTTAATAGCTTCTGTTTCTTTTTCAATTCTCTATACGATGATATGGTTATTATAGATAAATAAAAAAAAGTTGGATATCCCCTGCTTGTAGCTCATAAAATATATGATTTTGAGCAAATTTATAAAGGGAACGTACATCTGGTACTTAAAACTCTTATATTATAATGGATATAACGTAGAGCTATTGAATGGTCTCTGTTTTGTGCGAATCCAGTGAGCATTTGTCGAGATATGGTCAAAAAGGGGTATCATGCAAAATCATGAATTTTTCTTCAAAATCTACGTGTGATAGCAAGCAAAAAATCTGGCGACCTTTTTTTTGGTCAGGACAAGATTGTTAATATTTCATAATAGAGTTATGCCAGAGCTTCAAGCAGTAGATCATTCGATAGGAAATTTTTTGGTCTACAATGCTTAGTAATGCTTAACAAAATGTTTTGATGACAGATAGTGATTAATCTTTAGAAAACAGTCAGAAAATCGCAAAAACAATCGTACCAAATATTAGGTGGACAATATGCACCAGAGACTTGATATAAATACCATTGTATTCTCCTTTGAATTCTCTATAATTTTTGTATAAGTTTGAAGGGGTGGTTACTATCAAGAAACGCGTATTTTGACGGTCGATAGATTTCAGAATCCTATGGATCATCATTCAGAACAATAGAAATTGAAGCTCCGTTTAGCCTTGGCATGTGTACACGACACATGTATAAATTTGACCGAGCATTTTAAATATCGGAGCGTACGAAAAGGGCCATATTAACTTGCTGGTTTCAAGTTATCAATAGATATTCGAAATTTGGAAATCAGTCCAGCCCGCATTATGGTATTTTTTTGCTATTTTTTTTATAATCCCAGTAAGTTTTTCGCCGAAGTATATAGCTTTATCCGTTCAAATTTCAGTAAAATAAGTCTTTAAAAAAGTTGTTGGATGTTTCACTAATGTTACACCTTCTTTCTTAATTGTGGTATCTTTAGCGTTGCAAATATACCATGCATTCGATTTCTTTTCAAACATTGTTTGCTATATGTTTCTCTTCTGTTAGTAATTTAGTAACTACCAGTAGTTTTATTGTTTTGTATACTTTTGTAACGTTATTTAGTTGTTGGATAGTGGAAAAAAATGGTATTTCAATATATAATTTATAAGCCATGACTACTTAGTGCAGTAAAAAAAGGGGTTGAAAAAAGCAGATGGAATACTGTTAAAATCCTTCTTTATTCGAAATTAGGATGATGTGCAATGGAATGGATCTTCTACGTCTCTATTTATATTGTTTGGTTTATACATCGATTATCTGGCAGCAGTTTAGTAGCTGTCAGTGATTCCGTTACTTTGTATATTTTTGTTGGGTTATTTAGTTGTTGATCTGATGGATCAAGAACGTTATTTTAATGTATGGTTTTTGAATCATGCGTAAAGAGTAGCTCTTTATTGCTGAGCATGTGTCCTGTTTAGGTATATTTATGTTACAACACTTTAAAATACCCTTGACATTTACTTTAGTATCTGCCATCTCTTATTTTTAGAGCATTTTGTTTAGAATAACGAAATATAGACAGAGTAAATACAATTAGAACTGAATATATTTATTATGTTATTCCAAGATTGAATAGGGATCAAAACTGGTGTAGATATCAAAGGTATTTATAGTTATTTGACAGTGCCGCAGCAATAGGACCTTGATCTTGAATGCGGGATAATTGTATAAGCCTTGAACCAGTAACGAGGATGTGCTGCATCAGAACTCATGAACCACCAGTCAAGGATAAACAACAAAGATGATCCAGGATAGAATGTTCTTCCTAATAACTTTGACGGAAGAACATTTGTCGGAATTGAAACCCACTTCCAGGGACGAAAGGCCATAGGCTACCACTCTCTAGGAACCAGGATATAGATTAGCCATTTGATGGCACCACTCATGTTCCTTCGTGCTGTTTGAATAAAGACCTCTCACTTCTACTATGCATCTCAGCTCATTCTCAGATCCTCTTATGTAATATACAACGCCTAATACATTTGCCTCTCAGAGATGATCTATATCCTAAACAGTCGGTAAGCCTGATAATGGTAATGGAAATGAGAAAGCGAATATGCTATTTAAACACTAAGGCTTTACATTTTGGCTTCGCTACGGTAAAACCACTTTTAAAATCGCTGTTATCATGTATTGGGCTAGATGCTTGAATACTATTTTGATATTGCACCTTCGCCTCCCTATGATAAAATCCTTATATAAATTAATGCTAACAAAAGTTGGATTAAATGCTTGATTGTCATGGCCATTCACCTTCGTTTTACTACGGTATAACCTCCTCAAGGCCAATGATACCAACAAGTGTTGCCTTGAAACAACATATCACGCAATCCATAGCCAAATAGCAAACAAGAAATCACTTGATCAGATACGCTATGTTCTGGGAAGAAGAGCCTTTAATCTCTGATTAACTACGATGGCGCTTTTGTGTTCATATTTTCCAGTATCCGATATATGAAACCTCCGTGGTGCTATACCATACCATGGCCTAGAGCTTACCTTGATAGTAGTTGAATGCACGTTTATACAGTACAACTCCAAAAGAATTCACTCTGAATTTGCTAGTCAGCAACCAGCAATACTTATATTACCGGAATAATTTAAAGAACCTTCTGCCATTACATTTTAACTAAATTATTTTCCGTTATTGGGAATAGTCAAGTCGATCAAATCAATTTCAAACTTTTCAATTCATTACATTCTTACTCATGAAAATGTGATATATTTAAAAAAAAACCACAATTTGACAATATTAAAATTTTCTCACCATATATAAGAATTCAATGTTAGTTATATGTCAGACGTGAGACCATCAGCGTCTTTATATAAAGAAGTGTGGCCCAGACGTGAGCTTTCGGCGTCAGTATAAAAGAAGCAAGCTCCCCCCCTTTTTTTTTTCATTGTCAGGTGTCAGGTACACACAGACTTTGTATGTAACTTTTTTTAATTTAGTATAAATATCAAATTAGTTTGCAAAACAATAAAGATCATCTTATATCTCAATTCTATTCTTTTATATACATTTATCTAAGTCTACTCTAAAACTATACCTATACACACGACACAGGTGCACACAGACTTTGTTAGTAACTTTTATAGTTAATATGAATATCAAAAATAATAAAGGTTATTTTTTTTTCTCACTTATACTGCTGACATATACATTTATCTAAATCTGTTACTTATACTCACAACACCATTAAATAACAAACACTTTGTAACATTCTATGCGGAAACTTTTTGATAATTTTACATTTATCTGCCAGTAACTTTTAAACGAATCAGCTCAAGTACACATTCAAAATAACATTCATATATTACGAACTGTTCAACTATGCGATGGCATAGTAAAAGCGAATATAGTACCACAAAATTTCGAGAACCTAATTCCACTACAGTAGCAGTTTATGAAGATTATTATCTACAGTCTGATTGGATTATTTTGTATATTCCACACGGTCATCAAGCGATTGAGAAACAGTATCTAA